TAATCATTTTTTGCTCAAATTACAAAATGTCACATTACTTTCTTCCTGAAAATTAATTGATAATGCTAAATTTTTTAAAAAAAAACTGTTGTTATGATAAAGTCTGTGATGTATAATTAAAATCTATGTCACTCCTTAATGATGCTCCTTGAACTTTACACAAAGTACAAACAATCCTTAAATCATGATACACGAGGATGCTTCTTTGGACACCGGAAATCTCTGTATAAAAAGGGAATAGTCAACCATGTCTATGTTTTTGTTTATTTGTTGTTGTTTTTTATATTACTTTATTTTAGGTATATTATTCCTACATGCATACTCTAAAAAACTAATTGCAAATTATGCACCATTTGACATTCTGAACTTTGTCTTTTTATAAAAAGTTACAGACGGGCTTGATATTACTTCATATTTCACTTACCATATTGCGTAACGTTTTATAGTATGTCTTTAAAAACACAAGGCTATCAGTTATATTATTATTAAAACATACTATAGGCTACATTGCTTTAAGGTAATGAAAGAAAAGATAGTGAAGCTGACATTTCAAAGATTGATATGTCATATTTTCCTAAAACAACATCAGTTTACACTGTACATATTTCATTTAGATTAGCTGAAATTAAATTTACCAAAAATAAATCTGACCACCGAGGTCGACAAATGTGGAATTCACCGAGGTAGTATATTACATTGTCCATACACTTGGATATTTACCGAAATCGTCATACGCTAATTGGTTTTACTATCCGACCGAAATAAAATTTACCAAGTAGTTTATTTCTGCACCCGTGAATAAGCCCTTATGCGGACGAGCTAAACGGACGGCTTAAGTTCAGCCGTAGAAAAGCGCAGAGGTTTTCACTTGTTATCGACATTTGTATCCACTTTAAATGTTCATATGGTGCGAAACAAAACAATTTGTTATTGCATTGTTATGTTTTGACAGACAGAACGTTGTCGACAGTTACTTTACACTTAAATATATCACTTTCTTTTGACTATCAATACAACTCAGAAAATATTTAGTCATGAAATAAAACCTGTTGAAAAGTAAGAGAGTTACTGCATCATAATGACATTCCGGGCGTATTAATGAAAAGTATACTTCAACCTACTGTTCACTGTACTCTAAAATAAAATTATCAATTTAATATAATGTTGTTGTTTTGTCTTTAGTGTTCAATACAATACATAAAGTTAAAAAGTCCGCCTTGTCATGGCTTGATAAGTGTTAACGAAATTGTGAACTTCCGAAGTAACCTTATTAGGAAACCCTCTTGGGAAATTACTTTCTATGTTTATTCCATAAATATAAATCACAGGAAGCGCCCTTAAAAAACTTGCCGTTTGCGAAATCACAGTGAAATAATGATACAAGAGTAATGAAATTGGTTTTATTATTTACTTTTTACTTTTTGTCGAAATGAATGACCTAGTCCTTTGTGATCATGTGAAATGTTTATACATTGTTTATAGATTCGAACCTTTAAAATAGTTGGTAATTTTTTATGTATCTTTGATTGATATCTTTTATATAAATATGCTCATGATAATTCAGCATACATCGTTTTCTTAGTTTCTTTTATTAAAAATGAAAGCAAAATAGTTTCTGCTTAATCGATGAACAGTTTTATGTAAGTCAAAGTGATATCTAAAATTCAGGAGGAACACACAATTAACAAAATTAAAAATAGTAACTTGCTGTATCCATACTGTATCTGATAGCAAATACGCATTTACAACAACAAAGAAATCGTTCTATTGACTATTTCTGTTAAATCTTATAATACTTTTAAGTATGATATTCTTGTCTTAGATATTATTATGAAACAATGGCAGAATGCAAGATATCATTCATGTTGCAGGCATAGGTATATAAAATATTAATATGTTGCCTGCATAAATACAAGTAGCTGCATTTTTGCATATAACATCCATACAATTCTTATAATAAAATCATGTCGCTGATTGCTCAATTGGTTAAATGAATATTTTAATAGCTAACGTTATGTGAATGATGTGGAGGAATAATGTTGCCTCCAAAAACTTTTTAATTTAAGAAACGAATAGATTTCATGAACACTAAGAATATTGTGTATTGAGATTATACTTGAGAAGCTTCAAGATATATTGAACTGCTTGACCCCCATGTTCCTGATATTATAAGCAATATAAAACTTTTAGTCTCAGAAAATAAAGTATAAAAATTCTTTTATAGTTTGTAATAGCATTCATTTATTTGTGAAAGGCACATCTAAAGACAAATTTTAAGATAATAGTAGTTACACATAGATTTAACAATGAATAAGTGAGAAACTTCTTGAAGGCATTTGTTTCTTTAAGAGTGTTTGACATTTTCTTTTACGCTGTTATCCATTAGTCAAATTTTTTCCGCACTTTCTCCTGGGTCATTAAGAAATGGTTTATTTTTTAGAGATTACAAAAAGTATATAGTGATCATAGGCAGAGTTCATAAATAAAAGATAAGAATGTGATATTTCGTGAAATACTTATGTTAGGCATATATTTGTGAAAAATCAATCATTTTGAATAGTACCTCTGATATATACTAGATAATTTATTTACAAAACGCAAAAGTCCCATAAATACGGAAACATCAGAAAGAGATATCTTTAGTCACAGTTTTAAACATCGTCATTATATGCAAATAATACAAATTAAAACTGCTCAACTTTGTGCGACAACTCTGTAAGAAAGACTTATTCAAGTCGTCCGAGTTGATTAAATTGCAAATAATTATAACCATCTTTTTAATTTGCGTGCTGCTCCATAAGATTAAGTATTGTTAACTTTAGGAAGAATCAGCAAACAAAGGACAAGGCGAAAAAGTATGTCGATATTAGAGCAGACTTTCCTTGCACACGCCTTATCAAAAATTAAGCAAAGTACCAGTGAACAGAATCAGTAATTGTTGTTTCTTTTAGAGATTAAAGTACATTGAATAAATTATTTAGACTTAATATGTATGCAGTAGACATTTAGTAAAAATGTGGCATTGTTAGTATTCAACAGTTAAACCAACCATTGCAAAAAATATATTTGATATACAGTGTCGCAAAGAACAATCTTTAAATATCTTACTATATTCGTATTGTGCTCTATTCAAACAAAAAAAGTTGATTGTATTAATTTTAAATGAACACAATTACCATCATAAACGATGTCGCTGATTGGTAATCAGATTTGTTGAAATAATTGATAACTTAAATCTGGCATAATACAAATATTTTATCGGCTACAAGGAGATTTTATCTATAAGGTTGATATGTACCAAATATGCAAGAGGAGAATAGACGTTTTAAGTTTAAATATATTATATACAATGATTGTAAAGAAAAATATTTGTTAAGTCTTTTTATAAAATACATTCTATATAGACTTTGGCAATTAAGCTCTCTCAAATGATAAAAATAAAACACGTAAAAAGGAAGCTGATTTAAGAGTTTAAAATATATTTTCTCTATAGTTATCTAAAATGATCTTTCATCGTTATACAATACTGTATAAAGTTCTATATGTCACTAGCAAATAACGATATATATATATACTCACGTTCGTGAGATGGCGAATTCAAAGGAGTAATGTATATATGTATATCTGATAGAATATATTTCTAGGTATAAATAGAAAACGGCTAAAATGTGTTTCTTTTTAAAGATGTGTAATATAGAATGTCAGAAACTTAACTAAAACAAATCATAATCAGTTTTAATGTTATATCACTGATTGCAGTGCACTTGGTCACTTGAAAAGGACTGATTACATTACTTCTCATACTAATTTACGATTTCTTTGAAAACGTCAACAGATGTGACGTTTTTGTAAACGGCAAGGGCTAAGGACATTTTCTGTGATTTATATCAATGGCATGAGCAGCAAGAATAATTTCCCCAGAGAGATTACTAATAAGGTTATTTAGGAAATCAACAATTCATTAACACTTATCAACCTATAATAAGACATACTATATAAAATTATTAAGCTAACTTTATATTTTGAAAAAAAAAAAACTGTTGTATCTATTTGAGACTTTCGCATCACATTTTTTACAAGATTTGATTTTCAATTTACTTTTACATACTTTACTAAACGCCCCTAAAGCTTTATTGTAAATTGCTGTCTCTTAAATTAATTTCAAGATCCCGTAATACATTAAAAAAATTGCCATTTCATGTTGAATGTCGAATTCTGCTTTAGCCGGTACTAGGAGCTGGACGGTAGCTTGCACTATCCAGTAAAATTCATATACTGCGAGTTTGTTTTTTAATAACCGTGACATTAAAACCCATATACACACCTGTTTTAAATGTGTTCAAGCAATTTTCGTTTTATCTCAAATAAAGGAATTGTGTTATAACATAGTGTTGTATCAGATCGTTATTAAAAGTAACTTTGACAGGTATATGCCCGTGTGTAAACGGTTGTTTAAAATATAACCTTGCAGTTGGACTTGTATAAGCGTGTTACAGTTTATATAGGCCTAATTTAATTTCAAAAGATCTTAATAATCTTTATCTAATTTACTGATTAAAAGGCAGTAAAGCTGTGTTTTAAGAAAGCATAATCTGGCGAAGTTTCCAAATACAATTGTGTATAATTGATTTATCCATGCCACTTTTAACATATTCTAAACTAGATTAAATAAAAAAGTAAACAAAAATCATATTCATCATCAAGGACAAACAAATCCAATTACAAAATGTAGTTCACACAGATTGGGGTTGTCATGATAGACGAACTGATGACAACCTTTAGATAATAACAAATAATGCTCATTTGCTAAATTTGGCAAAATGTCTCAAATCGATCAAAGTTTTCGTGTAAAGAATGCTTATATTTAAGAGCTTTTTCTGGTTTATGTATGATTTGTTGTCAGGATATAGTTATTTGGATATGTCTTATTATGCATCAGGTTGATTATATTATTGACAAACAGTGATTTTAGCCATTTTTGGGTCGATTGTACATCGACCCAAAGGTATAAACTACCCCCGTTCAGGCAAACAATCGCAATTCCAAACAATCGCAACTCTCCCTTTCCATTTCACGAGATACGGTATTTTTGCACCGCACTATATTATATAACCGCACTATTTCTTAATGCGAACCGAATTTCGTTAACAAAAAAAAATAGTTCCTTATGTTCGGTAACAAGTTAGAAAATTGATTCATGCATTGAATATAGAGGGGTTGTCATACATTTCGAATTATATCACATTATCGAAAATTAAAATTACAGTTCGGTTATATTTTGTACTGTTCGCAGAAATTATATAAATGCGCGAGTGAATCACGTGACTGACTCTTCAATGACGCCATTTTTTATTCAACAGCCCAGATTGAAACGCAGTTTCGACTTCGTTACCTGACACAGATAATCATATCAGGATATTTGAAGAAATTGTAAGTATCGGATACCCATACAGCGATTTATACAATTATACCTCGATTAAGCAAAATAAACTGTCCCTGAATGAGCAAGGCGTGTGATTATTGAAGATTTGTTTCTGTGTTCATTTTCGAGAAACAACAGCAGGGATAGATGTGATGCTTTTAAATCCAAATAACTTGTATATTTGACAATTGAAATAAAGATATCGTTGAGGCTATCGAAAATTTTAATATAGGAATTGTGACTTTGTAAAAACTATGATATCAATGTATGTAACATTTAATTTCGAAGAGGTAAAGTGCCAACTCGGCCCTAAACCAACTCGGTCCGCAACAAAAAAAGAAACCACTTAAGATTGTTTAGTTGATGAACATCCAGCGTTAGATCACATATACTAAAAAAAAATTGAAAAGGTCTGAATGTTTTATTTTCTTTGTTTAGATGAGATGTTTCTATTATTAATAAAAAAAAATGAACTAGCCTAGCCTAAACATTTATGAACTGTAAATTCTTCCCTCACACACTTTCATTAATAACAATTTCAATATCAATTAGAAATGGTCTATAGATTATAACATGAAAACGTTAAACAATGAATGGTCTGAACACATGAAACAAAGATAATTCAACATAGAGCAACAAAACTAGTTCCACTACGGAATACCGTACCCCCGGATATTGCTCCATATTACGAGGACTTTCATCCCATTTCACGACTAACTTCACTAAGAACGGGGAACAAAGGTAAATTCAGCCACGATATTTAGTCATTTTGAATTGGTTTGATATAATTTTATAGACAAACGAATACTTCGATAATTTTTCTAGTCACTGTAATATTGAGAAATAATTTTGAAATGTAATGGAAATTATGTAAAATTTGTCTCTGCTCACTTATAAATGAGCTTGGATCAGTCAAATTTCAGAATGTGTTTGTGCATATAATTCCTTAAAAGAAATAAATCAAATCAAATGAAATGTGATAACAGTGATTATCTTTATGTTGTTAATGTTCACTCAACAATCGTAATCAGGATGACAGTGCATTTTGAGAATAAATATACATGTCAGTTACTGAGTATTGCTTCTGAGTTGCTCGCTGGAGTCATGAGTGTAACGAGTATTAGTTAATAATATCTTGAGTAAATGTGAGAAGTAATCTTAGAGTATTTACCACATTTAAACTTAAAATATTTCTTACTGTGTATACATAATAATACTTATTGTCATTATATGTGCAGAATATGTAGAGTTCGGAGGTACAGTTGTACTGGAAACATCTGCGAATAATCCATTGGCAGTGAGATTTTCATTCCTGCTCATGAAAAACTCAGCCATTTTTAACAAAGTCGGCACGTTTCTGTGGTGACAAAGTTCTCGTTGCTATCAAATGATCAACCTTTTCAGAATTCATAAATAATTTGAAAGTGCGTTGATGCTGCCTCAAGATTGTCAATATTAGCTGGTATTGAGCAAGAGAGCTAATGTCTTATATCAACCCACTTTCTTCTACATGTATGTTAAAAATCCATATACAAGTAATTTTTGGTTATTTTGCACCTGCATTCTAGCAACGGCAGACTGTCTGCATGTGAAATTTGTTACGTCTGTCATTAGCAATGTGTTATGAGCGGGTACTATAGTCTCAAACTGAATTGTCAGATATGTACATCACTACATGATGTGATTTAATTCATTTCAATGCTAGGGCGTTTTAATCTGTTTTAGCATTTCCACAGCAAATGCTGACGTGTTGGATATTCTATTGTTTACTCTGCAAATGATTATAGCTGGTATATGAGGTCAGGTATTGCACTCCTAACCCCCAAATTTAATGTCAACATTCTTGAAATAGACATTTAAATATTACAATTGAAATAAATCTAATTCCTTAATTATAGAAGAAACATGCATTTATTAATGTTATAAAGTAACTGATAGATTGACAACCAATGAACAAAGAAAAATATTTTAATTCAAGCATTTTCGGGGCCGTTCGGGTTTGGTGGTTCTCTGGTTTTGGTGGTTCCCAACCAGTAGCTGATTTGCCTAAGATAACTATAAATTGGGAATGGTATATATTAACAATTATTTGAAAATTACATGACTGTTATAAGAAATTCATTTATTTCAGGTATGTTATATGACAGACTGTTGTGTGAGGATTTGATTGTGACGTGGTTATTGTTTTATGAGAAGACTTACTGTATGCTGTAAGTTTCTGTTTAAATATTTTTAATTGTACAGGTTACTAAAAGAATTAACCAAGAAAATAATAATATTTTGATAGCAAATAGTACCGTTTAGTACGGAATATAGCCAAGAAAAAAATGGCCGCCCCCATGTTCAGACACTACTTACAGATTCCTGCAATGTTATTTGGTTATTTTGGGCTACAATTGGTGGGTTTCATTTGCCTGAAATGGAAAAACTTACTATTTTTTACCTTTTAAGTATTTAATTCCTTAGCATTCCAAAGAGAAAATAGAATTTTTTTGGGAAAAACTAGGCTATTTACCGAGAGGAAGATGCAGACTATCGGTGTATAGTTGTTAGTAAAAAAACTTCAGAGGAGTTTCTGGTGCGAAGAGTCCATTATCAAAAATGTCCACAAATCAAACATTTGACTGGCGTCTGTTTTGTTCAAATAGTGGAATGAGTTGACCTGCTGTAGTTGGATATATACTGGTCAGGGACCATCAGCTGGACACTTTCTTAACATTTATCCATAAAGATTTCATGATTTCAAACCTAGAGACCTGAAAATTTGACATAGTACAGTTGGGTTGTTCTCTTAACTAACAAACTAGTTTGTTTATTTCTGATTATATTGACACTTAAATTTGAGGCTCATAAAGGTGGGTATCAAAATTACCTATATTGTCTACACTACAGTAACATGTGTCCGGTCAGATATGTACATGATGTGATTTAATTCTTCTAAATGCTAGGGCGTTTTATTTTCTTTAGCATTTCCACAGCAAATGCTGACGTGTTGGATATTCTATTGTTTACTCTGCAAATGATTATAGCTGGTATATGAGGTCAGGTATTGCACTCCTAACCCCCAAATTTAATGTCAACATTCTTGAAATAGACATTAAAATATTACAATTGAAATAAATTTAATTCCTTAATTATAGAAGAAACATGCATTTTATTAATGTTATAAAGTAACTGATAGATCAACAACCAATGAACAAAGAAAAATATTTTAATTAAGCATTTTCGGGGCCGTTCGGGTTTGGTGGTTGTCCGGTTTTGGTGGTCCCCAACCAGTAGCTAATTTGCCTAAGATAACTATAAATTGGGAATGGTTTACTGTAACAATTATTTGAACATTACATGACTGTTATAAGAAATTCATTTATTTCAGGTATGTTATATGACAGACTGTTGTGTGAGGATTTGATTGTGACGTGGTTATTGTTTTAAGAGAAGACTTACTGTATGCTGTAAGTTTCTGTTTAAATATTTTTAATTGTACAGGAAAACTTGCCTTTTAAAGTAAAACAAAGCTTTGGTTTATACAGAATTTATATTAGTATGATTGTGTAGAAAGCTGTAAGCTTATAAATATTCCTGGAACCAACTATATAAATATTCCTGGAACCAACTAGTACTAAAAATGAGTGTAAAGCATACAATGTCCTGCCATATTTCCAGTCACCCAGATAGGAGAATTTGGCTTAAAATAAATTTAAAAAGAAGGGGATTTAGACCTAAAATAGGGGCATTTTAAGCAAGTGATACAGGTCATAATAGTAAAACTTAGCAAAGATATATATAAATATACATGTATTTCCTCCATTTTATTATCAAAATGAGCATTTCTACAACATCATATGATATTTTCAAATTTTAAACAAAATAAACGACAACTATAACAGGTATCCAAAATGTGGTATATCCTGGATCACATACTATTTCATACATGACCAGGGTGTTTGTTTCACCTTAGACCTTGGGTCTTGACTCGTCAAAATTCTGAAATGCCCTTGTTTGGCACATCATAAAATCAGCTTGTGTATCATGTTTGACCTGTTATAATTTCTGATGGATACATGGAGACATCTTTGTTTGTCAATCAATAAGTGCTGACCCAGGTATTTTACATTGACAAAGCAATTAGACTTGCCTACAGGTACAGTAGTTGGACAAATGATCTGCATTAAAGTGGTTTATGCTAATCACTGACAGGTACAGTCTCGCAGTTTGCATCTGATAGCGAGAAGTAAAACTGAGTTGTCTGCTAAATAATATACATGACATAATTTTGTGTAGATAATAATTTTCATTTATTGGTAAACAATAGTAATTATGTATGTGTGTCGATATGTCATATTTTGATTTGATGATTGAACTGTGGAAATTGTAATTTTATGGATAATTAGGACTGGATGTTTGAAGATTTTTTTTGCAGGCACCCGTGGCTAATTTTAGCCTACCCACTGTTATTGTTAATTATAAATGCATTTCTTTGAGTATTGTAAAATCTTATTTTTCCTGCTGGTCATTTTTATTTCTAAAACAGAAAACAAGGCTTTTGTTCAAAATATGCAACTGTTTTGGTCAAGATTATCAGCATATTTGAATTGTTGTCCATTCATAGCATTCACATCACCAAGTTTGAACATATCTGTTAATAATGAAAACCTTGTGACTTGGCCTATAATTTAGATAACTGGAAGTTTGAAAGGATTTACTGTATATTTGTAAATTATATGAGTGTTAAATAAGAAATGCATTTATTTCAGGTATGTTATGTGACAAACTGTTGAGGTTTTGATTGTGACGTGGTTATTGTTTTATGAGAAGATATAGAAGTGTATGCTGTAAGTACTTTTAAATGTTTTTGGGTACAGAAAAACGCTTATTAACTGAGCTTTTGATAACATCCATTTCAAAACACATATCTGAGAAATAGATTAGTTAGATTAAAGAACATTTTTGTGTGCTGGTTTTGATATCTGATCATGTAGAATGATGCTGTTTTTGTCCCTAAATTTCAAATAAAAATGTTGTTGATTACTTAATCCAACCATTACAAAGTCTGATTTCACTAAGAGGCAGATGTTATAACCCATTATGCTGGTGTGACATCACATCAGAAGTTATGTGAATTTATCCTTTATGATTCTAATATTGGAAGTTAATGATTACAAAATGTTTACCATTTCTTGGGAAATCTAATTATGGTCAACATGTCTGTTGGAGGGTATATGTTGTGTCCAGTCCATAACTTTCTCATTCATTTTTGACACATTATTGTTTGCTGTATGAGCTATATTGTTTATGTTAAATATGAAATGTAATTATTTCAGGAGAGGATCACAGCCTTGTGTGTGAGGTTTAATCAGCTTTTGGTTGTGAAGCTGTCAGTTGTTTAAAAAGAAACCGTTAAAAACTCGTATTTACTGTTCCTCCTGCATATCAGAACAGGTCTGTATCAATAAATTTACTAGTTTTGTTTTTAGTTTACATGACAATAAACACTAAATTTACAAGACTTCTTTCTAAAAAATCTAGGAGTTGAGTCTGTTGATATATTATTGACTGAAGTGTGATAAATATTTGATGTAAAATATGAGATTTTCATTTATTTCAGGTTTGTAATCGTAGACCTGTGTGTGGTTATGATTATGACATATTCAGCTGTTTGCAAAGTAACCTTGAAGATAGTATCCATTTGCAAAGGTAAATAAGCTGCAAGAAAAAAATATCATTTTATTTGTATAATAGTTTTAGTATTTACTTGATTCATATAGTGTGTTTTGAAATGACAAAATATTTTTTACATTGCTGTCTTTACATTACATATAATCTTACATTAATTTTATTAAAGTCAGACAGCATGTATGCCTACAAAGTTTTTTTTGTTTAAATGAATGTTGTTGTTTTTTGTGTGTGGAATTTTTTCTTTTTGTAAGGTAATTCAGTTTAAAATAAAGCATATATAATCTCTTGCATTTGAACATAATTTCATATCTTGGAACTGAGCTTAGAATTGAATTTATATATATATTTCATGGAATTGTACTTACATATATAACATGGATTTGAACATGGAATTGAACATATCTTGGAATTGAACTTACATATATATCATGGATTTGAACATGGAATTGAACATATCATGGAATTGAACTTACATATATATCATGGAATTGAACATATCTTGGAATTGAACTTACATATATATCATGGATTTGAACATGGAATTGAACATATCATGGAATTGAACTTACATATATATCATGGATTTGAACATGGCATTGAACATATCTTAGAATTGAATTTATAGATATCATGGAATTGAACTTATATATCTTGGAATTGAACTTATATATCTTGGAAATGAATATATATATATCTATATATCTTGGAATTGAACTTATATATCTTGGAAGTGAACTTGAACGTCATGGGTATTTTATATCTTGGTCATTTTGCTTTTCTAACATATTCATGATGGTTTAATTTTCAATCAATCATTTTATTGGGTTTGCTTTCCTGTTTTGATCATTCAAAATGGTATTTACATATTTGTGTTCTGCTGACTACAACCAAGGTGCTGAATGTTTTCCTGCAGTAGCAAGGGGAAGGCAGTGTGTTCCAAGTTGTCTTATGTTCTTGTTAACTGCCACATACATAAAACCATGTACAAGTTTGAAAACTGTTGATTTAAATGATATTATGTTTGCTGGCAGCTTCTTGTACTGTGCTCTGTACCAATTAGGAATAGCTTCTGATTTTGTTGATCCACAAAGAATACCTGAGCGTATTTCATACCAAAAGAAAACAATGTTTGTAACTCACAAGAGTGTTTTGTCTGGGTTTATGAAACATCATTCACTAATAGATAACCAAACATACTATTCTCTGCAAAATGCCTTATTAATTTCTTCTGAAATTGGATCAAATTCTATCATTGTATTTAAAGGTGTTTCTGTTGGAATACATAAACATGGGTCTTCATTTTACATCTTTGATAGCCATTCTCGTGATGAATATGGATTAAGCTGTTCAAACGGAAGGTGCATTCTAGCAGTTCTGGATTCTATCCAGGGATTAATTACATACTTGCAGTCATTGTCAAGTTCTTTAGGTATACCTGAAAGTGACATTCAATTTGACTTGCATACTTTTAAATTCATAACCAGATACAAACATACCCCATTTTGTGTAATTATTCTTGAAAATAGAATGGGTTTTAGAATTGAGACCATCTATAGGCGGAAGCGTCTGCATGACAAATCAAATGAACTTAAAGAATTGCGGCATTTTTTAAGCAAACGACCTTTGATAGGTTTTGTAGATGATAGGAATATAAACTGCATTCCAGAAAACAGATCATGCTCTGAAAATACAGTTGCAAGTGAACTTTTAGATTCAGTAATTTCGCAGTTTGATAAGCTTGTTTGTACTGGTCCAAATTATGTTTGTTCATGTTGCACTCAAACATTTTTCAAACATTACATGAAAAATGTGGAAAACTTATCTGATGCAAATAAGTCTTCTTTGAATAGATATCTCACACAAAGAAAGAGTGTAGGCAACAAAGAATGGGTTTGTCAGCTTTGTTTTGATCATGCACGAAATGGAAAAGTACCAAAGTTTTGGGTAAAAAATGGGTTGCAATTTCCTGAAAAACCAGCAGAGCTTGACCTCTCAAATTTGGAAGAAAGACTTGTTTCTCCTAGGTTACCATTTATGCAACTACGTGAAATGCCTAGAGGTGGCCAGGTTAACTTGAAAGGAAATATTGTAAATGTACCTGCTGATGTCAATAGTACAATTAAGTCGTTGCCAAGAATGATCAATGAAAATGAAACAATTATGTTGAAACTGAAACGCAAATTATCATATAAACATCATGTTGCATTTGAAAACGTCAGACCATACAAAGTTTTTGAAGCGGCAAAATGGTTGGTGCGTAACAGTTCATTATTTAAAAATGAAGGTATTGTTGTAAATGACACTTGGCTGCAACAACCATTTGAAATAACCATGTTGTCTGAGCAGGAAAATAATGATGAAGTCACCTCTGATGATAGTAATAATAATGTTGACCAGTGTGAATCTGATTGGATTGAAGAAAATTTTATGGACAGACCAACAGGAAATCTTGACACCTTCTTGCAGTCACTGGATTTCAGAGAATTTAACCAGATCTTGTCTGTTGCACCAGGAGAGAAAAGTTCCCCCATTGGGTTATTTCAAGATTATCATTCAGAGGTACTCTCCTTCCCTACACTATACTGTGGTCAGGCTCGTAAAGAAAATTCATCACGTTTTGTTCAGGTGCATTACAGTGATATTTGCAAATGGGAATTAAGAAATGTTGATAGGCGTGTGGCATTATGTGTACCAAACATCTTCTTTAAGTTGAAAAGGCTACAGATAAAGCAGATTAGAGACAAAGTTTTCCTTGCAATACGTAAATGCAAGACAAGAGGTGTTACTTTAACTGCAGGTGACATACTTACACCCGGTTTTATAGATAAACTTACAATGCAGAATGATGGTTACAGAGTGCTTAGAACACTGCGTGGTTCGCCACCTTATTGGGAAGCAGCAAAGAAAGATGTTTTTGCTATGATACGCCAGCTTGGGATTCCAACATGGTTTTGCTCTTTTTCAGCAGCTGAAACTAAGTGGCTGCCATTATTAAAGTCTTTAGCAAAGCTCGTCAAAGGAAGAGATTTATCTTCTGAAGAAGCAGAGGAATTGACTTGGCAAGACAAATGCATGTTGATCAAGTCTGATCCAGTTACCTGTGCTCGATTCTTTGACCACAGAGTTCAAATATTCATTAAACATGTCTTGAAACATCAGTCACAACCAATTGGAGAAATACTTGACTATTTTTACAGAGTTGAATTTCAACAGCGTGGTTCCCCTCATATTCATATGATCATATGGATTAATGGTGCCCCAATTCATGGAAATTGTTCAGATTCAGTAGTAGCTGAATTTGTTTCAAAATATGTTTCATGTGACAATGATAACTCAATGCCAACATTGATCAATTACCAAACGCATCGACATGCTCATACCTGTCAAAAAAATGGCAAAGCAATTTGTCGCTTCAATTTCCCTATTCCTCCTATGCCTGAAACAGTTATTCTCTATCCATTGGATGAAAATGAGAGAAATTTTGGAGTTGAAGCATATGAGAAAGTGATATCTTTTCTCAATGACCTACATAAGTCACAAAGAACTGAGTTAGAATTCAATGATTTCCTTGCTGAGCTTGAGCTTGATTATCAATCATACCTTCTAATAATCCGCTCTTCTCTAACTAGACCAAAAATATTCTTAAAACGCTCAGTTTCTGAAAGTCGCATTAACATGTATAATCCAGTTTTATTGAAATGCTGGAAAGCAAATATGGACATACAATATGTTTTGGACGCATATTCTTGTGTTTCTTACATTGTTTCATACATTTCTAAAGGTCAGAGGGGTCTATCTAACCTCCTTAGAGATGCTTGTAATGAGGCCAGAGAGCTAGATAGTGATGTGAGACAACAAGTAAGGAGGATTGGTAACCAATTCTTGTCAAGTGTTGAAATTGGTGCACAGGAAGCAGTTTATCTAACTCTTCAAATGCCACTGAGAAGGTGCACAAGGGATATTGTATATGTTGATAGTAATAAACCAGATGAAAGAACATCTCTTATCAAACCTTTAACAGAATTGAAAGAACTTCCATTAAATTCCAAAAGCATTGAAATGGACAACATGTTGAAGAGGTACAAACGGAGGCCAAGGATTTTGCAGCAACTTTGTTATGCTGATTTTGCCTCTTGGTACGATTTGTGTAGCGAGAAAAAAGGGGAACAGGTACCAGATGAAAATGATGAAACTGAATTGCCAGAGACTGTCTATCAGTATGAGTCAGAGGACAATATTTTGGATTTCAATGAAATTGACAGAGGAAATGTTATAACATTTGCATGTGGTACAAAAGTAAGGCGAAGACAAAAACAGAAAGTGATATATAGTAATGTCACCTCAATAAATCAAGACAAAGAAGAACATTTCCGACAAAAGATCATGTTATATACTGCCTGGCGAGATGAGGAAAAGGATTTGATGGGTGGGTTTGAGACCTTTGAGCAAAGCTATCATGCAAAGGGAGACGAAATCAATGTTAATAAATCTGTTTATGAGAAAAATGCTGATGTTGTTGAAAATATACTGGAAAACATTGCATCAGAAGTAATAGATACATCAATTAATCCACAGGCACAACATGAAGATATGTTAGATTCAGATGAATGTCCATCTCAATCAGCCACTTTTGGTTGTTTTGACCCTGGGGTTGCTTCAGCAGTAGATGAAGGTTATGACCTTGGTGAAGATTTAGGTATAAGTAGAAAGCGTGCTTATACGACACAGTGTGTAACAAATGAAATGGACGATGCAGAATATTTGCAATGTGTACAAAAACTTAACATAGAACAGAAAAATATATTTTACCATATTTTGCACAAAGTCAAGACACAGTCTTTACCATTTTATACATTTCTTTCTGGTGGGGCAGGTTGTGGAAAATCTGTTGTTGTTCGTGCACTTAATCAGGCCCTTTTGAAATATTTCAATCATTTGCGTCATGAAGACCCTAATACTCAAAAGTTACTGTTGTGTGCTCCGACTGGAAAAGCTGCCCACAATATTGGTGGAAGCACAATACATTCATCATTCTGCATTCCAGCAAACCAAAGTTTTCAATTCAAACCTCTTGATATGCAGCAGTTGAATACAATGCGAGCACTTTATCGTGACCTGAAAGTTATAATAATTGATGAAATCTCTATGGTTGGTCGTGGAATGCTGAATTATATAAACTTGAGGTTGCAGGAAATTAAAGGTTGCACCAAAACATTTGGAAACGTCAGTGTTCTTGCAGTTGGTGATCTGTATCAATTGAAACCTGTCCTTGACTCATGGGTTTTTTCCCAAGTCTACAATTCAGTACAGCTTCAGTCATTAGGCACAAATATATGGGTTGATTTGTTTGAATTCTTTGAATTGAAAGAAGTCATGAGACAGAAAGATGATCAAGAATTTGCTCTTCTTCTAAATAGATTGCGAGAAGGAGAACACACAGAAGAGGACCTGCTTGTGTTACAGGACAGACAAGTTGCCAACTTTGGAGTAAGTGGAGAGAAAATCAAACATTTACCTCATTTGTTCTGTACAAGAGCTGATGTTCGCTCTCACAATGACACTATCCTTGCAGAAATACCCTCTACAAACAAAATTGACATTGAAGCAATTGACACTGTTTCAGGTAATGTTAGTTCTTCAATTCATAATAGAATTCTTTCAAGAATACCTTTAGACCCAAGTAAAACAATGGGCCTGCAGAAAAAATTAGTACTTGGGATAGGCATCCCTGCAGAACTGTGTACAAATGTTGACACCACTGATGGACTTACAAATGGTGCGTCATGTTGCATTAAGAAATTTGACTACCGGGTTGAGAATTCATGCAGATGTAGCATAGTTTGGGTCAAGTTTGATGATGAGACTGTTGGCAAAAAATGGCGTGTAAAGTATAGGCATTTATATGAAGATGGTATAGAAATGTCCTGGACCCCAGTTTTGGAAATATGTAGGAGATTTATGTATAAATACTACAAAACTTACCAAATTGTCAGGCGTCAGTTTCCTCTCTATGTATCTGCTGGTAAAACAATTCACAAGGCACAAGGTTCAACAATTCAAGAGGCTGTTATGCACTTTGGGTCAAAAGCAATTAATCATGTTCATTATGTTGGTCTCAGTAGGGTCACTAGCCTGTCTGGTGTGCATATTTTAAATCTTAACCCTGCCAAAATTAGTGTTTCATCAGATGTTCAGATGGAAATGGAACGCTTAAGAACACATAGGCAAATATCTTTTCCTGAAGCTCCTGATAATTCTGTTGATTCAATGAGAGTGTGTGTTCAAAATTGTAGATCTTTAAGGAAGCACTTTGAAGATGTAAAAAATGAAAACAACTTACTGTCGGCTGATATTATAGGCTTTGTTGAAACAAGATTGGGCACTTTTTCTGCTGAATATAACATTGATGGTTTCAAAATGTTGGCTTCTACACCGGAACAATCACTTCATGGGATTACAGTTTACTACAGAAATAATGTAAACATTACATCATATGATTTTAAAACTGTATCTGGAATAGAATGTGCATTTATAGCTATTGGGGATCTTCTTATCACTTTTGTTTATTGTCCTCCAAAAGTAGCAACTATTGCAAATTTCACTGTTTTCCTCTCCTCAGTTTCTGAAAAGATTTATGGGCATTTTGTTCAAAATCATAGGACTGTGAAACTTGTAATAATGGGAGACTTCAATTATGAATATGCAGAAAGTAGCAGTATTTCACAGGTGTTTAGGAGCACTAGCATTCAATTAAATCAGTTGATTGATCAAGTGACTACTGACTATGGTAGTTGTCTAGACCATATATATACTGATTCTCCTTTCCATGGATCTGGGGCATTCGAATCCTATTATTCTGACCATAAAGTCTTGTATATTGATCTCAAAATATAGTCATATTTGACATCAATGAGAGTTGTAATACAAATGGCAATGCAAGATATATTCAAAATTTATGCAAATATTAAGCAGCTGTCGTTCAAATTCTGATATGTTCATCAGGAGCAAAATTGGTAAATTTATGTTAAGTATATTTAGTGTGCTAAAAAAGTATTTCATAAATTGATGAAAACATTCAGCATACCTCAAAACCGGTTTTTCCATTGATGATGCTGATGCAATAAAACTTATTATATTAAATTAATTAAGGCTATAAACAAAATGAAAAATCGAATTCGATCTGTTCATCACAGTGATTTTTGTGCGCCACTTTAGTGGCGGGTATTTAGATTACCCTTGTCCGTCCTTCCGTCCGTCCGTTCTCGTTTGTATCCCACGTTACTCAAAAAGTATTTCACCAAGAGTCATGAAACTTTACGGGAATGTTGGTCAGCATGTGTAGTTGTTCACCTGGGTATTTTTGTCTGGATATTTTTAGTATTTTTAGAGTTATTGCACTTGACTTAGTAAAAACCGTTTCATAATGTTGTTTTTTGTTCCTCGAGTGCTTGATTTAGAATCAACCAACTTTACAGGAATAATGATCAACATCACTAAATTACAGGAATAATGATTCACATTACTGTGAAGCTTTGCCCCTGGGACTTTGCATGTGGAATTTTTCAGTTTTGTTAAAGTTATTGCCCTTGACTTACAGTAGTATAAATTTGCAATTTCCAAATTGTTCATGCATAGCTCAAAAAGTATTTCACTTGTAGGCCTGAAAGTTTAAAAGTTGGTCAGCATGTGTACTTATGCACCTTGGGATTTACTTGTGGATTTATTCAGTATTCGTAAAGTTCTTGCCTTTTACTTAGTAAAAGATTTTTAGTTTTCAAAAAATATTTGACCTGGAGTCATATGATTGACAGAACAGTGGCGCGGTGGGGGCACCCGTGTCTTATGGACACATTTCTAGTTAATTCCTTACTTACTCGTATGCCAATGAAAAGTTATTTTTAAATTTTTTTTCCTGTTTATTACAATGGTTGCATATTTTTTGAACCCATCCTTTACTTAAATTGTACTGGAGTACTGAATGAAATAGCTAAAAAAATAATTAAAAATCATGTCACTACTTTTAAGTTTTTCCCAGTGTAAGTATTCTTTGTGTAGAGTCCATTACGTAATAATAATATAAAAGGTATCAATTCATAAACATTATTATTATTAATGCACCAACCCCTGCACACTAGAATTTGTGAAATTGATGTTTCTACCCCTGCCTAAATATGCACTTTTGCTCATTTAAACCATTTCTAGGTGAGCAATTAAGGGTTGTTCCTCAACATTATCATAAGGCACTTAGTTTGTGACTTCACTCTAGGCAGTTTATCATTTGTACAGATAAAATGGTTAAATTGAATGAATTACTGGTTAAATGGAATGAATTGCTTGTTTGAATACTGAATAAAGTGTTTTATTTTTTTTTCCCATTTGTCTTAAAGCCCTTTTTACTGTTTGGTAAATATGGGGTTTTTACAAAACAAGTGGGGTTTAATTTTTTCACCCAAAGAAAGATCATTTTCTGCATTTTAGTTTCGGGCAGCATTTTTGATGAAGGGTTTTTAAGCCATGACTTTTGTTTCCCTTTGGGTTTTAAAATTATGAAGGCCTTTGTGGTGAAAAATTTTTTAAAAATTGGGCAAAATCCCTTTCTGTTTAAAAATCTGTAAGGAAAGGGAAGAAAATATATGGGAAGAAAAGTCATTTCAGGTTTGTCATTAGATAATTTAAATGAAATAAAATTTGTTGTTAATTACATTTGCAGTGTATGTAATCTCTTTTTAAGGTATTCAGTCTTAAGACAATTGAATTAATTAATCAAACTACATAAGCTACTGTAGTTACTGAAATTAATTTTGCATCTGAGTTTTAACAGCTTGAGTATCAAAGAATACTATGGGCATTCCATCTTAGCCAGGTGTCAGTGCCAGTGTAACACTTGAGTTAAAGTTTTCTATGCAGCAAGCACTACTAATATTTGCTTGTAATACCACACACTTTATAATGATAAGATAAAAGGCCGCCATCCAAATATATAACTCCAGCATGGATTTTGAAAAACTTGGACAATTCTTTGTTGAATTTTGCATGCAACATCAATTTCCAAAACAAACTTCTTAAAAAAAAACAGAATTGTTTATTTAAATGTAAACTTTTAGTTTATACAGATTTATTATAGTTTGATTGTGTTGACAGCTGTCAGCTAATTGAAACATTCTCAAATCATTTCTTGGAACTAACCAGTATTAAGCAATGAATGTATAGTTTCTTGCTCAAGGACACAATGGCTAGCAATCTTTAGGTCACTTGTTAGACTTGTTAACCACACAGCCACATGGTCACACCAAAAATCATTTTTGCTGGTCACTATCCAAATTACACTTGAAATATTTTAAGTTCAAGTTTTGCTTGCTTTGCAATATTTATGTTTATAAAACTACTTATTCAATTCACATGCATTTTGAGAAAACAATTCATGGTCATTTTAAGACCTATGACTGTTGCATGGATTTTGAATAAAAGAGGCTTAATAAAAGTGTATTAATAAAATTCTTTGGTCAATATTCAAGATATGTACATTATTTGTATATTTGTAAATGAAATCATAATTTTTACATTGTCCAGCTATAATACTATTAAGCAATGAGAATATTCAACAAGCTGTCCTATCAACATCTCTTGTTGTTTTCGTTATATTGTAATTTTGTGGAACAAAGTAGACAATTATTTATAACTTTTTAAAATTCTCCTACAGGTCAGAATTAGATTTATTTGATAGTAAAACAATAGAAATAAGATGTTACATGTTAGGCTATACAATTAAAACAGTATTAATGAATTTGATGTGTAGTTGAACCATCTATTACTTCATTTCCAGAAAATGCTTTCATAATTTAAAATCTATAACTATGACATTCAAAGAGACGTCTTCAGTGATCATGAGATATAACAATAAGCAATGATAAATCTTCCCCAAAATCAATAAACGCTATGGTATGTGTATAGGCAGCACCATTTTATAAACCATTACTTGCCCTGTCATTTTAGACAGAAGGTAAGGGAATATTCTAGGTTATCAGGAGTATTCATAAAATTTAATACTGAATTTTACACTAACCATTGCTTTGCATTTTTTTTTTCAGAAAAAAAGCTTTTTTACAATTTTGCTGTTAACTTACTGCATGTATGAAAATTCTTGCTAAGGAACCTTAGTATGATTAAAGAAATTGTAAAAGAAGTGTGTCTTAATGTTTCCTGTTTGATTTGTTAAGAAACTATGGATCTCTTATTAAAGACAAAAATATAGTGCCATGTTAACATTTCATTGCAACAATACTATTTATTTCACATAAATTTCACACACCTTCTATTTCCAGAAATATGGATGAAAGGACGACAATCTCCACAGACGTTGACAGAGATTATTTCTTCAGAATTATCCCCCCATTTCTTGCCCTTTTTTAAATTTAACTTCTCTTTAAATTTATTTTTTATATTTGGTAATATTTAAACATTTTTTTCTTCAAATTTCATTTTATTTTGTTAATATAATGCAACAGAATTTTGAATTTTTTCTGTCAAATTTTGCTTGAAACTTTTCATTTATATATGAATATGATTGTCATGCAAACTCTTGGGCACAGCATCCATCAGAAAAAAAAAAAACAATTCAAAAAGGAAAGGGGGTTAAATTTTTTTTGAACTTTACCTTTAAACAACCTTGCTATCAAGGACCAATATTTATTACAATTAAAGGCTTGAAATTATGTTATCTAATAATATGTCTCCTGAAGCATTTGAGTTCATATAGTTTTGAGCAATAAGTTTGCCACTTTCTTCTGTCCCCCTATCTTGTCTTGGTCATTAACTTGCTGAAAGAACAAGGGAGGTATGCAACATATGAAGCTTTGTGTTAGGTTATATATAATCTCAATTTAGTAGTATGGCATTGCAACAATTGTCATTCTGCCTTCCCTGATTTTGGGGTTATTGCCCTTTGTTCATTTTTCCACTTTGATCATTGTCCGGGACATAGCTTTGAAACCATAAGAGGTATCAACAAGAAAATTCGTAGGTTGATAGATATCATTAAGCAAAAGAGCTGTATTTCTTTATTTTAAAGTTATTGTTGAGTAATTGCCCTTTGGTCATTTCTTAAGCTTTGAACTTGTCCTGGACATAACTCTGAAACTAAAAGAGATGTCAACCAATTCATTTTTTTTTAATTTTATTTGAACATGATAATAATGTATACTATGAGTACTCTTAACTATTGTATTACTCCTATGATGTGTTTGATTTGTAAGTCATGCATGTTCCATGCTAGGCAGTGGCCCTTGTTAAAATTTCTTTATTGTTTCTATTATCTGTTTTGTAAATATGATTACTATTTCATATTGTCATTTTAAATAAATCATTTAAACTATTCATATTTATTGTTTTTGTAAAGATTGCTTTACTCTGTAAACCTGTTTAGAAAGAAATTGTGACATTATTCTGTCAATGAATTACACACAAGCTTTGTTCAAGATATCACTTTCGCTGATGAAGCACTGATCATACAGGAACACTGATCATACATTTTACTGGAAGACAAAGCTGTCCTGTTTGCAGTATATCAAATGTACTGCTTGAACACAGGGCTAAATGAATATAGCATATGATTACTGTCTAAAAGATGATAATTATAATTCCCTTGTGGGAATAAGCAATGATATATTGTTTTTAGCTGACTATTTGATAAGAGTAAGAAGACCTTTCCTAGTCACCCGAGCGTCGGCGTTATCTTTATATTTAAGTTTTTCAAATATTTGCAAAGTTCATCGACGTATACATGGCTTTAAAGTTGATATTTTATACACTTCTTTGAAAACATAATAGGAATTATGGCTTTGAAAGTTTGCACACTTGTTCACCATCATGCCCCTAACATGTAGACAGGAGAAGGTAACACTATCAAGCATTTTAACAGAATAATGCCCCTTTTAAAAAAAATTGTGTAAGTTTGATACCACCGCATTGCAAGGTCAAGTGACATATGGCTTTGAAACTTTGCACACCTTCACCATCATGCCCACAACCTGTAGACGGGAAGAGATAACTCTATCTTGCATATTGACGGAATGATGCACCTTTTTGGACTTTGAACCTGGGTTAAAGTTTACATATTGTACCGCCTCAAATATTTTCTAAAGTCCATTGGCTTTGAAAGTTGAAACTTTTATAATTTATTTGAAAGCATAGTAGGACTCTACAAAACCTTTAACTGTAACATTGATTTGAAACAATTTTTCCCCATTTGTGAACTTTTTACATTATCAAAGCTCTTTTACTATCAAGCACTAAGGATAGTCGAACGTGCTGTCCTACCGACATCTCTTGTTTTAAATGACTTCAATGTACACCAGCTTGTAGAGCAACTCTTCATCTTCACTTCTTTCTGTATTTTGTTTTGTAAACTTGTCAAACTATTATAACAAAAAGTTACCCTTCTTAATGTCCTTAGTTTCCACTTTGTGCCATTTGAACTTCTTACAAGAGTAATTTCGGCTTATATATGACACTAAATACGATTTTTACAAAAATTTTCAAAAAATTTATTTTCCTTTTAACTTTCCAAAAGGTGGGGAAGGGTTTATAAAATTTCAAAAAACAAATCAACCCTCCAGTACTTTTAGTGCTTTAATTATGAAAACTGTTATTAGAAAATGGGTATGTTTTTACTGGATTTGATGCCCGGCAGCTTTGGAAACCCCAGAGAAAAGGGGTTTGAGTATATAGACAGAAAAGCCCAAAAAATTTTGTCACCCAAAGGGAACATTGCACCTGATGTTTTCCCAAAGGGCACGTTTCAGTTAAAAGGGCCTGCTTTTCTTACCCCATCTAACCTGATGTACCTTTTTTAAAAAAAATTTTCTTTGTTTTATACAGTGTTTACTTTTAAAATGGGGAAGTTTTTTTGTTCTTTAAAAAAAAATTTAAAAAAAAAGGGGAAATTAAAAAGCATAATTTTCCCGTCTTATGTGTTCCCGTTAAAAATTTTTTTTCATCAGGTGCCATAGTTTGTTTCAATTTCATAGTTATGTTACATTATCTGTTATATTACACATGTTTAAAGGGACTCCACTGAGGTTTTTTGACATGATTGGATTGGAAATACTTTTTCAAGATTTTAATAACTTTAACTGTAGGTCTATACTATGATCATGTGTGCAAAATTTTAGGTCATTAAGCAAGAAGAAAAGTAAGTGTTTTAATGCTTTTAACTCAAATCAGGCTAAGAATTGCATTAAATTTGGATTTATTTCTTTACTCTAAGTATATTTCTTCATTATCTTTTTCATACTTTTCCATTTTGTGTGCCTCACCTGATCTATATCTGATTTTCAAATTTTATGTTTTAGACTTTTGGACCTAAGTGGAACTTTTTTAATGTGAATGATCTTTTAACAGATTTGGCATGGGGGTGTATGAATATTTTATACTCATCTTGCTATGTTATCATTGCAGAATATAAATTTTACTGTTCACCCCGGGGAAGTGATCGCCCTTGTTGGTCCTAGTGGTGGAGGCAAAACATCCTGTGTTAACCTATTAGAATATTTCTACACACCAGAGAGTGGCCAGGTGCTGCTAGATAATATTCCTATACAGCAGTATGACCATCATTACTTACATAGACAGGTTAGTTTAACCCATTACCCCCTTTAAAATTGTGTTATGGACTCATCTGGCTGTGAAATTGGAAGTGTCCATTATTGATTAAAGGGATTTGATTTAATGAAATATTTTTAATGCAATAAAGCAGCCAACAGTATAGAGCTCGGTAAAACTACATGAATGAGCATGCTGGCCAAGCTCTATACTGGTGTCTAGCTGGGCCCTAATTACCTTATACAGGACTTGGGCTGTGGTCCTGAGGCAGGGGAATTTAACATTGTTTTGTAAAAGGGGAGTGTTTTTTATAAAATAGGTGACAATACATACATGTATATTAATTAAAATACTTAAGTCATGTATTTTAATCAAGGTCGTGAATGGGGCTGATAATGGGTCCCAAAAATCGTTAAATGAGGGTCCTGTTTAGTCATTTTGGCAGTAAAAGCTAGATTTATTGTATGTTGGTATACTTAATGGAGATAGTGGAAATCTGACAAGACTTTGCATATATCTATTTTTCAACCGCGTTCATAAGTTTAAAGTGTTATCTAAACAAACTTCTTTTTTTTGTTTGATAAAACTCTCAGAAAATACTATGAATTTGAAATCTTTTTACATTTTTTTGCCAGTAACAAATTTTCTAATGTAATGTGTAAGTCACAAAGACAATTATCAAAACAATAATGTGTTTTAATATGAGGTCTGGCATTTAGTTTTGTGCCAGTGAGTACTTAGCACAGTAATGAATTTTTATATGTCTTTCTATAAAGCTATTTTTGGAATCAGTCCCACATTTCAGATATGCAATGCTAAGATTTACTTACTAATATTGGTGAGCCAGCCTTGTGGTTAAGGTGTCTGCCTTTCAATTCATGAATAGTGGGTTTAAATGTCTGTCATGATCATATTTCCTCATGTGACATCAGTACTGGTTACTTCCAGAAATTATACCCGAGACTGGTTCAGATTAGGCTAAGATTCAGCTAATATAAATTTGATATAACTAAATTTATCACATACCATTGTGATTCAATAAAAATGGTATTGCACGGAGGTTCATTATATATATATACATAGCATTAAGACGTGCTTAATGTTAGTGTTATACTACAGGCGCGTTAATAGAAAATGCTTCTTTTTCACTTTAAACTGTCTTTTTTTGTGATAAAAAGATATTTGTGTAAGTTCATTACTAAATTTATTGAACTCGAATAAAATAATGTCACACAATATAATTATATTCAACTCGTTTAATAAATTCAGTATTAAACTTACACTCCTTTAATATCCTCTACATATTGACCATAGACCCAGCAAATCTGAGCTTTAATAATTGACCAAACGAGTGAAATTTTAGTAAAACTGTACAGGCTTTCAAGATTAATTATTTTCATATTATTTCTTTGAAATTTTATATCAAGACCATTCTATGACTCTGATTATGATAAATACAATGATATATATACATGTATATTATATATAAAAAAAATGGTTTTTTTTTTTTATTTCAATTAAAAATAGATATCTTTGGTTGGACAAGAGCCTGTGTTATATGCTAGAACTATCGAGGAGAATATAAGATATGGTCTGAATGAGAATGAATGGAGTGATGCTAAAATTGAGGAAGCTGCAGAAATGGCCAATGCTCACAATTTTATCACACAGTTAAAAGATGGCTACAAGACACAGACTGGGGAAAAGGGCGTTCAGATGTCAGGTAAGAAAACTTTGATTATGCTGATAAGAAGCTCACTTGAAAACATTTGATAATTACCCTGTGTCTTAAAAAAGTGAATGTTGCACAACAGCATTTTACTTGTTTGACAAAATTTCTGTGAGAGAAAATGTCATGTCTTTTGTTGAGCTATACTTAAGTTTTAAATGGTGGTTTTGTAGCATTATTTGTTTCCAGGTCTTATGTCAATGGGTCAAAGGCCCTTTGAATTGTGAAAATTAGTGCAGTAATACCATTATTTGTGGATATAGTTCTTATTTATACAGTTAAACATTAGTCTTGGAAATACACCTTGATTCATGACAAACACCTTATCTGATAAAATCTCATGGTTTAATTTCTGTATAACATATGATTTTAAGTCATGGCAACTATTTCATTGACTGCAATTAGACCATTGTGAAGTTTCATTCAGCAGTTGTGAATGTGACCCGAATTTGTCCCCAAAGCTACATTACCCAAAACACACTGACAAGCTGCACTGATGAAAGCACATCAGGTCCTCGTTACATAAAGACTGAGCACGAGTTGACACAACAACTTTTTTTAAGCTAGCTGGATAGCTTTTCCAAATTTAAAATTCTATACATGTGTCCCTGTGGGGAATCAATCCCACAGCACTGAGGGGTCACACAACCAATTTAGTGTCTGTAATCTTGCTAGATTATAAATATTTTGCTTTGTCTGGCGTGTTTCAGGTGGACAGAAGCAGAGGATTGCCATTGCGAGAGCGTTGCTACGGAAACCACGAGTTCTGTTGCTGGATGAAGCCACTAGTGCACTTGACTCAGAGTCCGAATATCTGGTCAGTGAATTTATTAAGAATTTGAGCATATTTAAAGTAGTCATCTACAAACCTTTTTTTTCTTTGCCCTACATATTTACATCTTTTAGATTGAATGTCAACTTGTATGAAGCACAATGGTGAAAAAATCAGCAATAGTACTGTAGTTAACATTGCCCTTACCAAAATGTAGAGGTGGTTTACCTGGTGAGATGTCCTAGAATTCCCTGTCAGTTTAAATTCTTGTGTCCTGTTAAGTATACAAGCTTGAAGCTGTCCAGTTAGCTCAATAGGTAGAGCGTCAGAGTGAGAATCAGGGGACAGGGCTTTGATTTCCGGAAATTTACTCATCCTACAGTCATTCCCACTGTATGTGGTTCTACTCAGGTGCCCGTTCGTGCCTGAAATAATGCATGGAAGGGTACCTGAGATCTTCCTCCACCAGTAAAGCTGGAACATCGCCATATGACCTATATATAATGTGTTGGTGAGACAAAAAAAACCAATTAAACAAATTTCCACTGTACCTCTGCTCTTGCATGTTCAGAAGTTATCAGTTCCGAAAGTGACGGAAACTAGTACTGGTAAACTGCTTGACAGCCTGCCCAGAAATAATGCAGTGGCTGAATAGTGCTCTAGTAAATTTAATGACACGAACTGCTGTGATCAGGTGTGAAAACGACCAATACTTCCACTAGTGTAGAAGCTGAAAGTGCTCCAGAATAATCTAAATGATTGCAGCTGTTTGTCAAAGCATTGAAAATTTTGAACATCTATGTAGGTTTATTATGCCATTAAAGATTTACTCTAGTTCAATGCAAAATGTTAAAGTACCAATGTTTATATTACAGGTACAGCAAGCATTGTATAAGAACCTGAGTGGCCGAACCGTGATCATTATTGCTCATAGACTCAGTACTGTGGAGAGAGCTGACCGTATTATTGTCATAGATAAAGGTGAGGTCATTGAAGAAGGAACGCATAAACACTTGTTGAGTTTGAAAGGAATATATTCAAATCTTGTAAAACGGCAGTTATTGATATCTGATAACGCATGGTCAAAAGATGGACCAACTTCTCCAGTAAGGGATGTGGGTCAGTTGTTGTCTCCACACGAGTGCTCGTGCTGGAAGAGACGGAGTAGACACACAAGCGGGAGAGTTTCTAGTCGACATGCCAGTGGAGCTTCGGTACTTTCCGAGGAGGATGGGACAGGGCAGCCAAATGTGACTTTTATTGTTGGTTCAATTTGAACATTTTATTTTGACTATTTGAACTTTTTATCTTGACTATTTTGAGAAATAGGGAGTGCTGGCGTTGATGGCAGCTGTGAGCGTCACTTTCGTTCAGTTTTTGCTGGGAAATTGACATCTCCAAAGCTACTGAAATGAATGGGTTGAAACTTCAACTTCTTCTCTGTGATTATCTAACATGGATTGGCATATGTCTCATAATTCTGAGTTACCTACTTATTATGAATACGAATTATGCCCCTTTTCTTACTGTCAAGCACTGACAAAAGTTGAGCGTGCTTTCACAGAGACATTTCTTGTGTTATGTGTTGTTCATTTTTTGTTGTTGGTTCTTTTGTTTTTGTGGTAATAATGCTCTGCAAAGTCAATAATGTATTCACGTAGATATATATATTATGTACAAGCTTTTAGTATAGGTATATGCTTTCATTTAAAACAAAAAACTAGTCGCAATTTTCTTATACATTTTCACTTATTGAAATACTTGCCTTTAAAAAAAAGATTTTGTTTAAACATTGTGATTAACTTTGTGAAAGATAATGGTTTTATGATACGACTAACAATATTTCATTGTATTTTGTAAATATCTATATTTTATGTTTAATGTGCAATTTAATTGTGGCATAACTTGAACAATATTCTTGGTATTTTTATGAATGCAAAAATTGTTTGGTTTCAGTTTGATAGTGACTAATAATTTAGTTAGGTAATGAATAGGTTAAGGTAATAATTAGCATGGTAATGAATAGGTTACATGTAGGTAATGATTAGTATAGTAATGAATAGGTAATGTAATAATTAGTATGGAAATGAAATAAATTATCCAAAGAGATATAAAAAAATTAACTGTTTTTATGGCATTTACTTTGCTTTTTAGAAAGAAATTAACTTTAGTCATAAAAAATATTGGATGTTCGCAGCCAATCAATGTTTAACGTCTTAAAGTTGTTAAAATAAAGAAAAAATATTTTGCTCAAAGCCAACTTAGAAATGATTCAGTGACTCTTGTCATAAAAAAAGTTAATAGGACAAAAGAATTGCTGTTATATTTGCAGATCATTCTCGTACATGAAAGATGTAATTGCTTTACTATAAAGTAGATATATACACTGCCTACCAAAAACACATTCTCACACATTGTTTTTATTTGTTTATCTTAAAATAATATGTTTTCAATTGTTTAAATTTCATATTTTGAATTGATTTCTTGAAGACCTTGCACCTATATTATACTGATTATTACATGTGTACATTTTGAAATTTTTATACAAATGTATATTCTCTAAATAGTCTGATATTGTTTTTCGTAATCAGCCATTATTCAGATATAATATATGTACGAGGGGTTATCCAAAAATTTGTGGACTTTTTAAATATCTCTTGAACATCAACGTGTATTGTAATAAAATTTTATCAGCATACATTGTAGACTATTATCAACACATTTTGAAAGAAACAGTTGTGTCCATAAATAATGATTTTATATTGCTTTTAAATAAGCACATACAGGGCACCCGGCACATGGTAGAAAAACGCAGTAAGTCATCGTATATTTTTGCTAAAAAAAAAAACCTAATAAAATAACGTAGAAAACCCGCTGAACATTGCATGGTTCTTGTATGATGTCATTTAAGTAATTTTTTAAAATAATGGACGTCATTTCCGTTTATTTTTTTTTTGATATCGCTAGAAACGCCAGACGCCATTATTGTTTACAACGGGAAAATGACGGACACGCGGTAATTAGAAAATTGCAAGATCATACAATGATCTTAAATTTTTGTTGTAATTTGGGGATGACACCTACAAAAACATTTCATAAAAATGAGCCAACAAACAGAAAAAAGAAAATTTCACAATCATTAGTGTTAAAGTGGCATAAGAAATTTAGTTTTGGACATGACTTTGAGAAGCAGTAACCGTCATTGACTGCGTAACGTTGAAGCACAAGTTGTACGTTAATATTATGACGTTGACGTCAATAATTTTTTTGGAGTGCGCCGCTGTCGCCGACATGTGTTTATGCAAAATTAAATATTGTTGGAATGTAAAAAGCTACTCACATGAATTTTTCTGTGTTTATTTGTTATTAATTCTACTAAGCAGTGTAAGAATTTCAAATTAATATCTCAAATATACTTTACGCAACGAAGAAAGTCCACAAATTTTTGGATAACCCCTCGTACATTGAATATCACATCATATTCAATGGCTCACTAGTCAATAATTGTATGATATTGATTATTGACCTTAAATAAAACAGGAAGGAATTGAAATTATGAACTCTGGTGTGCAAAGTGGGTATTTTGTCAGTAGGCTTTAAATAAAGTTGATGTTGATGATAATAATATGACATTTAAGAGGGTTTTATAAAGTAAATAATGTATTTATGATTAGCTAATTGATTTTTTTTATGCTGCAAAGTTTCAAAACAGAGAAAATCAATTAAGGCCAGTAAAATATTTTGTCTGAAACATTTTTGTAATAAGAAAAAGGCAAAAGAAATGTGAGAATTATGAAAATAAATTATCAAAAATTGTACAGTTATAAGTAGGGAAAATGATATATACTCATCTAGTCAATGGCTGTGTGGTTAAGGATGGTGGTTTTAAACCGCTTGCTCTTCTAACCATGGTTGGTTTGAATCCCGTCACATACTTTAGATTCTTTCATGTGAAGAAGTTATCCAGGTATCAAAATGTCTGTTGATCTACCCGGGTTCCCACTTGTGTCTGAAATATTGCATGTAGGGGCTCCTGAGGTTCTCCTTCACCAGTAAAACTGGAATATTGCCATATTACATTGACAGTGTTGTTATTACTTAAAACCCAATTGATAAAACACTATATAATTGTTTTTGTGTATATTTTCATTTCATGTTGTTTAAAAGTTTGATTATTATGTATTACTGAATGTTGTAGAAACAGGTACTTTTATGTTCATATATGGACATGTCCTTGTACATTTTAATCGTAAATAACCCTTTGGGATCTGTATTTTATGATAAAGAAAAATTTTGTCTATTTGAATGTACTGTGAAATCAATATTTGTAGTATTATCAATGTCTGTGAAATTGTATTTTTGAGTTTGTGTGCAATTGTAAATTTTATTGAAATAGGCTTCCACTTCACCTGTCAGAAATATAAACACTTTAAAGTGCTTTAGAATGTGTTACCATATCAGCCAGCAATGTTAAAGTTGAAACTATAAAATGTCTAATCCTCCAATAAATAATTATGTAGAAAAAAAACCTTTGACAAAGTAAATGATGTCTGGGCATTAAATCACATGGTTTGCACAGGTATTCAAAAGTACTTGAATTTTGTTATCACCTTTGAAAAGTACTTCACTTCAGTGTTGCCACATAAAATGCAAACAAATATTGAATTTTTAGGGATTTTTTTCTCTTGAATTTATGTAAAATGGCCTTAAATTTTTGAATTTATTTAAGATTGGCTTTTAATTTCCTGAGATTCCCAGAGGTCATGAGTTCCAGCCCTACTCTGGTCACAACCATGTTTCTTCATATGACACCAGTATTGGTTGGTTCCAGTAAGCAGACTCAGAAGTGGCAAGAACTTGTTTGGCAATCAAGCTTAAATTAATATGTTAAAACCAAATTTCCTGAGGGTCTTTTCCTTGAATTTCTGTAAAATGACCTTGAATTTTCTAGTTTTTTTTGTCCTTAAGTTTCTGTAAATGATCTTGAATTTCCTTGAGAGTTGAAGTTTCCCTGAACTTCTGTAAAATAACCTTGAATTTGCTGGGGGGGGGGGGGTTCTTGCATTTCTTGAAATTACTTTGAATTTCCTGGGGATTTTTGTCCTTGAATTTCTGTAAAATGACCTTGAACTTTCTATATCATGAGTCATTATCAGTTTTAGATGCAAGAAGGGGTATGAATTTTTTAGATAAGTTGTAATTGTTGAAATAAATCCATTGTTAGATTTGTTAACTCTCATTATTTTTATAATGCTCAACACTACTGTGATAGAAGAGTAGCCACAAATATCTTGTAATTTTGTCGTTGTTATGCTTATATTTTCAATTTAATAAAGGAACTCCACAACGACTCAAAGACATAAAAGCATAAAATTTGAAAATCTTCAAATATCAAGTGAAGCAGTCCAAATGGAAAAAAAGTCTGTAAAGGATGACCAAGAAATACAAAGATAATTAAATCAAAAATTGACATTTTTTTGCGATTTTTATCCGGATTTGAATGATAAGCGTTGCCAGGTTTTTCATTATTGGGTATATTTTCTAAATAGAAATGATTATTGTGATAAAAACAGGGTGAAGGAATGAGCTTAAAATTTTCACACAAGATACTAGTCCAGACTTACATCAAATGGTACACAAAATTCAAAAAAATATTTCCAGTCCTGTCATGTCAAAAAACCTCAGTGGAGTCCCTTTAAGAACTGTATGTAAAGCAAGATTCATCATAAATTCATTTGGATACTATGATGTTGAGCAACAGATTCTAGTATATATTTTATTACCAGTATTTTTGAGAAATGAGAAATATAGTTCTAACAGTTTGAAAATCTTTGTCCGCAATATATGTTTTTAACATTCTTTTGTAAATAATATTCCTTGATTTAAAGGCACATTATGCCTCAGTTCCAAATAATTTTGTACTTCTTTAGAAAAGGCAAACATGAGTTTTGAAATGTTTAAATAATGGTTTTCGAGAATGTAAGATTCTTGTTACCAGAAGAAAGTAGTGATAAATGTAAAAAATATCTGTCATAAAAGAAGTAAAATGTAAACAAATTAATATTTTGACTTCCATACAAAACTGTATTTATTGCCAGAAAACAACATGTGGAAAACATGGTTCAAGTAATTGCGATGGGCAACCTTTTTGGATATCGTAAAATTACACCAAAATTACAAGGCTCTTGAGAAATAAGAATAAAAGCATTTCTGAGGCAAAATGGGCCTTTAAAAAAAAGTCATAATAATATTGTATTTTCATAATTTTTGAACAATTATTTAAGGCTGGTATCATGTATAAAAAAACAGTTTTATTCATTGTATCAGTATAATAGAATCTCACCAAAAAACAAAAATCACACCTGTGTTTAATTGTTTGACATTGATATATATTTATATAGATTTATCTTTATTGGTTCTACCACCAGCAACTTACTACCTGCATGTAAAAGTAATGTCACAAATTCTTATTTCTTTTAATCTGCATAATAAATTTGATCTGTCATTATATATTTGTTACTTTTTTTAGCCCATGTGAGTCATATCTCGGGCTTCTTTTATATGCTGGCCTGGCACAAATGTTCACCATTCAAAAGTTGATTGTCCCATGTTAAATTGAGGTCTCTATGGTCAAGGTCACACATAGAGGTCATAGGTTAGGTAAAGACATAGACATTTGTGAACAGGCCTTTTGGTTATCATGAATTGAGGGATCCTAACTTTACTGGTCTTTGCGGCGCACAAAAAACCAGGTGCACCTGTATTTATGGAAATGATGATAGTAATCATTTAAGTTACCTTCCTATTTTGACATGGCACAAGTCTTGCATGATTGTTTAAGGAACGAATGCAAAATGCTTAAAATGGTCATGGACCAAATGTTTAGTAAAAACTTATTCTATTTAGCTTTTCATTGCAAATCTGGTCAAATACAGTGCATAAATTATGTTTAAAGCATATTTATGTGTTAATAAACAAAAAAACTGCAGGTGTTTAAAATTAATTTTTATTTTCTTAATCAATACTGGATATTTGTTATAATACGTTGTTGTCAAGGCAACCTAATGTTCTCGTGGTCTCAAAACAACAGGTAATCCATTCAGTGAACGCATTATGACGTCCGGTTGAAGTTCAGGAGTGTGGTCTTTCACAGGTAACACTTCAAATCTACAAAATATTATGAAAAAAAAAAGAATTAGAAACATGATGGACCAGTATAAGCTCGAAGAACGAATGAGTCAATTGAAAATGGCCAAACATTATCGATAGTATGAGCCATTTGGTCAATCGGTCACTTATTTTAGCTCACCTGTCACAAAGTGGCATGGTGAGTTTTTGTGATTTCTTTTCGTCCGGCGTCTTTCCGACGTCCGTTAACTTTTACTTTAAACCACATCTCCTAATAAAGTGGTAAGCCAATTTCATCCAAACTTCACAGGAAAGTTCCTATGGTATTCAATTTTAAAAATTGTTCAAAGATTTAATTCCATGCAGAACTCTGGTTGCCATGGCAGCCGAAAGAAAAGTAACTTAGTTCGGGAGTTAATTTAGAATCCCTTAACCTTCGACAAAACTTTTAATAATTTGTTCAAAGCATGGTAAGGTATTTTATACGAAACTTGTCTGAAAAAATTTAAAGATTTCATTTACCTCTTTACTAACTTGGCCACTGTTATCTTTATCTCGTTCATGGCAAATACTTGTCCGATACAATTCCTGCAAAATATTAGTTACTGTCTCAAGTTTCTTGTAATGTAATTCTAGTCCATCGGCCAAAATACACAGTATGATATTAAAACGATGTATATCTGGTTGTGTCACAAGTTATGATGTACAATACAATAGCATATTCCATAATATTGAGCATTGTACAACAAGGTAGAGAATTAGCCCTTAGTTTACAACATGTAGTTTCAAGTTCAAAGATTGAAAAACTATACAAAAAATCTTTTAATGCATGAAAAACTAAATTTTGTTTACATTTGCATATTTTTCTTGAGAAAAATATTTTGTCAATTTCTGTCATAGAAAAAACTATAAAATAAACATTTATGCATGGACATTTGTTTACATTTAAGTATTTGTGAAACAAAATCATTTCCTTTCAATGTTAATCATAATTTGTTGCTAAACACATATATTGTTCATTGTTTAATAAATGGAAAAACTATACCATATAAGTAGGATAAAGATGTTTATCGAACTTTATCAAAACTCAAAAATAAAAAAAACCTTGATGTAAGTTGTTCATTACTTGCAGGTCAAGTATTTGTTAATGTCTCTTTTTAGCACAGGGGGGGTGACATTTGTTATATATATAGAATCGGGAGCATTTACACTTAAAAAGTAGCCGAGGTACCAATGTACTCAACGTTTCTCTTTCCCTTCCCGCTTCTGTTTGTGTATGAAGTGAGCGAGAGCGTTCTTTGTATTGCATTAAAGCCCACAGCTACACCGATAATGTCATGTGATGGCTTTCATCCTTTGTCAGTTAAGGCATGCTTCAGATTGCTGACACGGACAACTGTGTAGAACCATTGAAGTTTCACCAGCGTACCTCATTAGCTTCACAGTGTATTCAAACCCCACTGACTGTGAAAGCATGCAAATGGAAAGACCCAGTGCATTTTACCATGTAACTTACACTGGATGTCTTTACGAAAATACAATGATCATTTATGAATTATTATTTTTTTATGTTAAAAAAGTTATGTTTGTAAAATTTTACCATTCACTAATATTAAACTATGAATTTTAGATAAGAGTGCTCTACTTTTGTATATTTTCATACTCTTTCCTTGCAATGCTTTGTAAGCACTTGAATGTTATTCAAAATACCTTGATCCGGCGGAGAAGGGTATGAATCCGTAAATGTTCGTTTCATCTCTATGGTGTTGGTCAAAACGTGATGGGTCAAAAGTCTGGAAAAAAATCAGTAAGATCTCAAAACGTGATTATTATTTTTTCAAAGAAATTACGGCTATAATTTACAAATGTATTTCGCTGTGCTACTATCTTTAGAAACTCCAAGAGAAAAAATCATAGTTATATCTTGTATAAAATTAACGATTTTATTCAACACATTAGTTTAGGATCGGATAACTATGATAAGTGAAAAAAATGTAACAAACAAATATATGATAGAAACTTAGTACATGTTTAAAAAAAGTTCAGGCCTGAAAATATTATTTGCAAACCTCGGGGTTCTTCCAGATTTCTGGGTTATGGTGAATTGCGTAAATATTAACATCAATTCTCGGCCCAGCAGGGATTTCTATGCCATCAATCGTAATGGGATCAGTGGTCCTCCTGGCGATCATCGGTACCGGGCTGTAAAGTCGCATAACCTCCTTTATGAACAATGGCAAATATTCGAATTGGGAGAGACAACTTCTGCGAGAAGAAAAAAAACACGATTGTATAAAAAAAACTTTGCAACGTCACAGTCACCCTACCTTATAAATATTATAGCAAGATTCTTCATCATTATGTCTAAAATTTGTTTTCATTGTTGTCCTAAATTATACATTGTACTGTTACTACAATGTTGTTTAATATATTACGATCGAAATGATTGGTTTAAATCATAATATGACATCTCATAAAATCATATGACATAAAATCATATTATGACATTTTATGTCATTTTTTTAAAAAAATTGTATGTAAAGCATCACACACTTCATGATAATAAATGGAATTGTATAAAACAAGACAACATATTATGCTCAGCGCATTTGCCAGATATTTATTTTGCGCATGTTGTCGTAAATCCTTTACCTTTTAAAAATAAACCAAACCACTTCAAATTAAGTTTTCTTTTGAGAAAATAGACAATATCACAGATCTTACTTGATCATATATACAGGTTTTGTTCAAAATTTCAGGCAAGATTACTAATCTCTAAAAGGGCAACGACAATTAATAAAGTGCTTAGAGCAAATCCTCGCGTGGGATATACATGCATTAGTCTCCCATTGGAATTTTACTAAGAGCCTCCCATTGGACTTATATTCAGAGATTCCCACTGGATTTTTATTTAGAGCCTCCCATTGAATCTATAATCAGAATCTCCCAGTGGATTTTTATTAATATCCTCCATTTGGATTTTTATTAAGAGTCTCCTATTGGATTTTTATTCAGAGACTCCTAAGAGCCTCCCAGTGGATTTTTTTTCTGTTTGCCATACGGAGTAAGATTTTGGCGACATAAAGGGAATACTTCTTCCGTCGTCTGTCTGATCCTTCACAGAATTGTCCGACACTTTACCCTCATAACTAAGCTGGTGCAATTTCATGGAAACTTTACAGGAATGATCAGTATCAGACCTAGTTGTGCATATTGTCAGCATTTTCCGGTTCAATGATTTTTGTAAGTGTTATGGCCCTTTAATAATTTTTAACTTTAAAGTTTGTCCGGACTACTTCTCTAATACCACTTATGCAATTTTAATGAAACTTTACAGGATTGATCTGTAGCTCAAGTCCTTGCGCATATTGCAGGGGTTTTCCGGTTGAATGATTTTTGGCCGAGTTATGGCCCTTTGATAAAAAGGTGTTTTTTCTGTGTGTTGCAAGGTACGCCAAAGCTTGTCCGAACTACTCCTCATAAACTACTGGTGCAATTTTATACAAACTTTACAGGAATGATCAGTACCAAGTCTAGTTGTGCACTGTCCGTCTGTCTGTCCGTCTGTCACAAAATTTGTCCCAACATGAAGTTGGCCATCATGAGGCGACACATGTGATTACTGATCCCTCTTGTTATAATCCTGATAAATATGTATACTTTTAAGTTGTTATAATTATTTAATTATGTGGAATAGGAAAGGAAATAAAATTTTCGTCTTACTGTGAGATGCCTTCACTATCTCTCGTTATATTTTGCACATCTTTGTACACCTTCTCTTGAAGATCCGGATGTTGTCCCAATGCATATATCGACCAGCTAATGGCCGAAGCTGTTGTATCGTGGCCTTGAAACAGATAAAAAGCAATTTACGTACATGTATAGTATTGAGTATACCAGTTTATCACATACGTGTAGATAAAATATTAAGAAATATTGATGAAATCAAACATATTTTTTTTCATTTTGACTGTGAAGAAATATTTTTATTGCGATGAAAAATATTTTCCGTATTTCTGCTGTACTGTGCCGGACTACTTCCTTATAAATGCACTCAACACACAAAAATAATGTTTAATTCTTTCGAAACTGTAAGGTTCAAAAAAGAGGAAAAGTAAGGGAATTCACCTAGTGGTATGAAAACTATCACATGTCACTCGTGGCTACCACGACTCGTGAAATATTTATTTTTTCATACCACCGGATGAAAAAAAATCTCGTATTTATAGAAAAAAACCTGAATATCTTCTATTTATTTCTTCTTTTTATTCATATGGTATGAGTGAAGAAACGGTAGCAAATAATTAATCTTATTAATCAATTATAAAGTATATTTCATGTTTAACTTAACGCATACAAAAGTTGTACAAATTTGTTGCTCAATGTTATTAGGAGATAAATTAAATGAAGTTTTATATATCGACAGTTTTTAAAAAATAAAGAGTTTGGAGCGTTGCTTGTATTTGTTTGTATTTTTATATTTATCTTTAATTTTTATTTATAAAAAAGAGTAAAAATTTGGTGTCAGAAAGCTTGGATGGATAATGAATGATGAAACGATTTCAAGATTAATAAAACAAACAGTGCAAAAATGCAACTGATTAAGCAACGATTTCAAGAACATATTCATTAATTTAAGATTAACGTTTATTGAGAATACAGAACTAATAAAAAACATTAAATTTTAACAATTCACACCGAAACTGTTCTGAGGGGAAGGTATCAGATTGCCATTGGTGATAATATAATACAAATGTACCAAAAGAAAGCAAACAAAAGATAGATTAATTAAATCATTTAACATAAGAAATATGCTGAAATGTTTAACGAATCTTTGACGGACGGGTCACCCTATAAAACGGACAAGAGGGGTTGAGCAATATATCAAAATAAACGTAGCAATACCCTCAAACGTGAATGTGTCCACTTCGTCTTGTATTTCCTGCTTTGATAAGCCGTTTCCGTTTTCATCCTTTGCGGTTAGTAATATGTCCAAAAAATCGAGACGTCTCTTTTGTTCCGTTAGGTCTGTTTGTCCTTTCTTAATAAGAAGAAAAAAATGCAGATAAAATAGCTCATCAATATACTCAAACAGATACTACAGATATGTATAGACCCTTTTAGCACGGCAATCCCAAAGTAACGACAGTTATGCATGCGCATTCTACATAGGACAATGTTCAGTGCAATGTCGATGTAAACTGTTCCAGATATAAGTGAAAGAAAACATTTTATATGGATTTTTCAAAATAAACATTCTGATTTCATCAAAAGGATACAATTATTAGACCTTACGAAGAATATTAATCTTCCTTGATTTGTTATTGTCATAAAGTTTATTGAAATTTGGTTATTATTAGAATTTTATTTTACGTGAAAACAGCGGAGAGGTGAAAAGAAAACGTTGCAGACTTGTAAATTTTTGTAAATACTGTTTTTGCATTTAAATACTTGTCTAAGTACGTGACAGCTCATCAGTATCTGATGTGCACATGTCTACGGATCAACACAAGAGTTCTACATCTAGATCGCATGAACCTTACACGTAATACTTATAAAGTGGGCGGGAAATACGTTCTATTCATATGTACACTAATACCTAAAAATATGATATAATCGACTAAAACAATCGTACAATAAGTAATTTTGTTGCAAATTTTGACAAGAGATATATGCAAATATTTTGCTTTAAAATGTATACAAAATTTCACGTAAACAAGTATACATGTGTCCCCTATTTTAGCGTGCCAGTATGTATATGCCGATGCTCAAAATGAAACCAGCGAAATAAAAGCAATACCAAAAAAGGACATAAACTTCAACTGTTCAAATAAGACGTTTACACTTTTTAGTAAATACTTTAGAAGCCGGATACATAGCCCCTGTGAAAGATTTCATGAAGATTCATCACCATATGTATCTAAATTCAATAGCCCAAATGAACTCAGACTGTATTACGGGCCTTATGTAATGTACGTGATGAAAAAGGCAATAAAAATGAAACAAGAGGAGAAACGATTACTGAAACCACTAAAATGTGCAATGAAAAAACCTGTTTGAAAATCATATTTACTAAAGTGTTTCTCCTTGACTGTATGAGACCACCAGTAAATTTATGGGCTACATCCGTCTCGCGCTTGCTCTCTGAACCCAAGGGAGATAATTTGAAGATAAAATCAATCAAAAGAATTGGCTGCCTGAAAGAAAAATAGCGTTGGGATATATCAAAACATTACAATTTTCAAGCATAAATGTTAAATTTTCATTCTGTCGGTGCTAGGGGGAGGGGTGCAGCGTGGGCAATAGCGTTTGTCATCACTGCCATTCATTAACAGACTCAAACACCACTTGTATCTTCAAATTTTTGTTCAAAGCATATTCGTCAAAGTCAAAATGTAAACATTTATTGAGAATCGTTTAGTTAAAAAAAAGCTTTTCTTGTAATTTTACTACATTGTAAATATGCCAAGTCAAAATAAGCAACCATTATTGCCCTTAAAATGACACTGTTTGATAAAAAAACGAGCTGATAGAGTGCACAGTAGTAACTATATCTAACTGACAGCTGACTTACTTTCCATAATCTATCAGGCTATACATTTTGTACTTCTAAAATTAGCTAAAATGAGAACTTTAAAGTCAATCGACAAGGCAATAATTGAAAATACTTAATTGAACCTCTTCATCGGTGGCAGGTAAATGAAATATATTGTTCACGCTCCCTCAGCACCGTCTAGATCAGAATTCGAAAATAGATTCAAAGATGGTGTATAAGAAATTCAGAGATTAATAACACACGAATTACACGATGACAATCTAGTACCCTTCCACTGGACACATATTCGTACCATCAATGGAAGTGGCATATGATATGATTTATTTCACAACTGTAACCTCAAATGACAATCTATAAACATGTTTAATTATTTTAAAAGGGAATTTTACATAAAATTGAAGCATCTACGCTTAAACATCATCAAACTTTTTTGTAGCTAAAGCACTCTATACTCACAGCATTCTCTCCCACATGATTGTTGTCAAGCGTTGCACGGCTTTAATATACGAATGCCTGTACGAAAAAATAATTGAACAAGAAAATGAATGATATTTAGTGAAAAAGATCACTAACACACGATGAAAATTGAACAATTTACGACAATATCGCAGATGGATGTTAAACTAAAAATACCAAAGTTATCATTAATTGACATTAATGAATATCATAAGCATTGCCTGTATAGAACCTATATTAATCACTGTTTAAGGTAGTCTTACTTTAATGCTTTCCCGCCAAAAAGTTTCTAACACCGGCCAATATCGTAATAAATCAGTCCTTTCCGGAACGTCTTGGTATTAAATAACTTTAACCGTTTATAACTGGAATTTAGCACAAATCCTTAAAGGATAAGTGATTGTAAATAATTCAATGCCTAATATTTCGAAAAAATACCGTTCCGGAAATAACCGATTTGCCACGATATTGGATGATCTTGGATTTTTTTGGCTAGAAAGTATAACAGTAAGACTACTGTTAATCCTGACCATGCTAAATATCTGAAAGTGACTTTTCCATCATTAAGTCTGAACTAGACCATTGACCATTTTTAAGGACAATTCAACAAAAACAACTTACTGACTTATTAGCGATCAGTGCAGACCATGAAAATACGGTACGGATGTTCCGGCAGATCATGGTCTACCCTGGTCGCATTGGTGCAATCTGTTGCCGCCAATCGGGCAAAGGGTTTATATTTCAAAACACCTTCAGTTTGTGATACTAAAATAGAGAAAATAAGAATCCCTAAAGAAAGTCAAAAGGGGCAAAATTGAAAATGTTGCAGGTTCGGTCACACGCCAAATTCAAACAAAAAAAGGAACATTACAAAAATTGAGCATGGTAAACTATGACTTACTCTTTAGACTCCAGCATACTGCCTTCGTATGACAGTGAACATCTAAGCATGTTATCAAGAGTTGATCTACACACGTATGGAAAAACATCCACTGATTCACCGCCCTGTGTAGCCTCGCCAAGTTTGTCCTGGCATTTATAAAGAAATGCTACAACTTCATTTTGAGAGCTGGATTAACTTACACTTAAAAACAATTTTATTTACGATATCAAAACCGAAAAGCAATTGATTTTGAGAAATATACAATGAGAATATATACACACATGCCTAATAATTAGTATTCAGTAACCTTATAAGAGCTTTATTGTTTTTATTGCTTTATAACTGAAATCAGCTGGTGGTTTGTCAGTTATTTGAAAATTCGCATTATCAGATTTTTTTCTTCAAAAAGTCATTGTATTTTATTATCACAAAACAATTATATTTCAAATTATATTTACTAAAAATTGTTCCGTGACGTCGTTCATGACGTCAACATATCCATTTAGAATATTAAAATGAAATGCAGGTGTAAGTAAACGTCTGTTCCTTTCCCATTTCTTTCCCTCACTTATCAATAAGCCTTCTCCTGTAACAACAACAACAACAACACGCCTGGTTAACAACAGAGCTTCCTCATTCAGGGGTACACGGTAAACTGCTCTATCGCTACTTCCGAGCTAGTCCATGTCGTCAAATTTAAGTGTCACTTAAGGTATAATGTTGTCTTATATATTTTTTGTTAAATCGTCGAAGAATGCTATTTGTTTATAATCTGGATTACTGTTTCATTAAATATGAGGCAATAACCACTATTGCTGAATCCGCTTACTGGGAAACGCCGTCACTACTACAGTTCAAACATAAATACATTAACTTTAAGTCCCCTTGAGACTGTTATCAATTCGACATGGCAATGCAGTCTTTGATTTTTGATATTCCACTTAAATCCGGCGACATGCTGTATCTCGGAAGAAGTGGTAGAGCATATTATCTTATACCTCCGAAATGGATGATTCTTTTGTTTACCAGGCGTGAACAAATACTAAATGAAATAAAACAATAAAATGAAAGAAAGAAAGAAAGAAAGAAACAAAGAGCATAAAAACAGATGTAAAAGCTAGCATTGTTACATGGGACAGTTTCAAATGTATTGGTATTGCTGGAAACCATGAAAATTAAAAAAGTATATAAAGTACATACAGTATTTCCTCCATTTTGGAAGAGCTAGAGTATATCATATTTACAAACATTATAATATCATGACAATATTTACAAATGTTATATAATCATGACAATATTTACAAATGTTAAATAATCATGACAATATTTACAAATGTTATATAATCATGACAATATTTACAAACATTATATAATCATGACAATATTTACAAATGTTATATAATAATGACAATATTTACAAATGTTATATTTACATATTTAATGTTTAAAAAAAAGTGTTTAAAAAAAGATATTCATAACCATTACACACATTTATCTTGTGTCTAGGACCACTTGATGTAGGGCTACATCCTTGAATATATTTTACGGACCTTGATTTCAAGATATAAGCCTAATATACATAAAAGTTTATTTAATGCATTTTGACTACAAAATGATAATATGCAAAAAATACAGAATAGCATGCATAAAAGGAAACTTTATACAGGTAAATTTCAATGTGATATATACGGAAGAGCATTAGTGCCAAGTGTATGTTTTTTATTAACTCGAAATTTCGAGTAACTAGCTCGAAATTTCGAGTTACTTATCTCGAAATCGAAATTTCGAGTTACTAACTCGAAATTTCGACTTAGTAACTCGAAATTTCGACTTATTAACATTACAAGAATGGCCAAAGTTATTAGTTAGATGGTATAAGATATAGTAGGCAGTGCCTTTGAACGACGGAGATGGAGAAACGGGTGCCTGGACAAAAACTATTGAAATTTAACTTAAAATTAGTAATGGCATATACACACCCGACCTAAAAATACAAGGCTTCCTTTAATTTGTACGTTCAGGCGTTCTTCAGCTCATCTGTTCGAACATATCTTTTCGCTAATCATATTCTTCTCATCCCTGTAAAAAACCGATCCTATACTTCACGTGTGGGACATCTGAGGAAAGTATCGCGGCGTGGCCAAAATAGGGCGTGCTGAGGCCTTTGTCAAAATTGTTAGACTGACTATATTTCTTGTAAAATCGGATCAACACAATATCAAAGTATTAGTAAATAATGATTGTATCATAGTTTGGAGACCTTTCTGTTGAAAATGTGTCAGGGTTAAATCGTATACATATACATGTACAGTGCGTTAACTGGAGTGCGGGTATTAGTTACCCGCACTCCAGAGCATGCCCATTGATTGGCTCATTTTTGCTGGGGTTTACATATTTTGACGGCAGAAAAAGGGAAAGCGACAGAAATGTCATATTCAGATGTATGTTCATTGGTTCATTTTTGCCGGGGTTTCATATTGTGACAACAGGGAACGCGCTGTTATGTTTGACTATGATACAAAAGAGAAAGAACACCAAAACACTCGGCAATCTGATTAATACTCGGGGGCTACGCCCCCTCGTACAAATCAGATAGCCTCGTGTTTCGGTGCTCTTTCTATTACATAATGTTACAAAAACATTATTAGTATAAAGAAACGTGACAGACTCACTGGCGTATACACGCCAATTAAAACTTATTTAACACATGATATTGCACAGTTTACAATAGGGTGGGTTTTGGACTTGTTGTTTCTCCTCATGATGGTTGTACGTTTGCTTAAGAAAAAGAGACACCCGGTTAACACAGAAATGTGGAAAGTGTGATTTTACACCCCCCCCCCCCCTCCACAAAAAAGCGAAGGATATGTTCAATATGTGTGGACAATTTGACCCTATAAAATTGTTCTGTTAAATAAATGTTAAAGATGCTCTGTCAATGTGCAACAGCTACACACGAAAGAAAGTATCTTGAATTCAATCCTTGCTTTCACCGGCAACCAATGAAAGTCGTGCAATGTAAGTCGAAATTTCGAGTTAGTAAGTCGAAATTTCGAGTTACTAACTCGAATTTTCGAGATAAGTAACTCGAAATTTCGAGTTAGTTAGTCAAAATTTCGAGTTAATAAGTCGAAATTTCGAGTTAGTAAGTCGAGTAACTCGAAATTTCGAGATAGAAATTTCGAGTTACTCACTCGAAATTTCGAGTTAATAAAAAACATACACCTGGCACTAATGCTCTTCCGTAGATATATCATTACCAAAAAAAAAAAAAACGCAAACACACACAAAACATAAATTAAAAGTTTAATGAAAAGGTATAATCTCTCTTCTACTGTTCGTAGGATGGAAGAGTGGTAAGGGAAGTAAAAAGGATATACATAAATGCATTCCAGTGTTAAACAAAAAATGTTATATTCAAAATCAAAAAAAGTTTAGAATGTATAGACATTGTCAATCGCGCGCATTTCAATGAACGAAAGGGTTTTGCGCAGATTTATTACAACTTTGCCCAACCGAGACATCTCCCTTTCAAATGAAAGTGTATAGCACTCATAAAATTTATACGACTGTATATGCGATATGAAATGATTTTGCAATCATAACATGCTTAACAAACATAAATATGATATTGAAGCATAACGTTAACAACAAAAAGGCATTATAATTGTTACCATCATATAACAGTTAAATGTTGTAAAGTATTTCGATCACATGTCATTTCAAATATATTATTAAGCTATTTATATTTGTGTATTACAGGCATCTCATATCATATAGAAATGCATGCACATGTCAGATTTTTCCACTAAAACAGAAGCTTACTCATCTTCAATGGACGAGACATGTATTATGTATTCACCATATATTGAATTTTAAATAACATAATGCTAAAAATGGCAATTGATCACGCTATAATGATTTTAAAAAAAATCATGTACTTCGGTATTTTCTTTCCTTACCTAGCCACGGTTCTAGCACCCTATAGCCATCAGTAAAACCACGTGCTTTATTGTGCGATTGTTTATTAAGTTGTTGAAACGTTTCCGGATGACAAACACCTAGAATAGGTAGTGGACCATTCCACATACAGTACATCCTGCCACCCCCATTCACGATGTCCATGACGTAGTTACAGTACGTGATCGAGTCCTTTACCTGCAAATGTGTTGGTTTTTTTGTTGCTGTACAAACTGGTTAAGATTGACACTTATAGTAGATAGTAAAGTACTTATGTAAAATTTCACGGGTATTTAGAACTAACAAAAAATTCCACAAAATGCAAACAATTTTACACGATACTAGTATATTGCACACTAAATCGTTGTGCTTTCAGTGTTTTATGACTGTTTACATTTCGTCAATAAAGCATTACATTTACAATCTTTAGTATTATTACACGCAAACACAAAAAGACTGTTCTCAGTCTTCAATGAGGACCATCTGTTCTAAAGTTTGATTTAGAATATTGATAAGTAATTCTCTGCAAAGGAAGGATGACGGATGGCGAACGGACATTTATTAGAAATTTTACTTTGCCTCACCGAACATAAACATAATTATGCATAACAATGAAAGATAATAGATGTCGATGTATTTTCGGATGAAACTACACAGAGTCACTGGATTTATTTTTTGCAAGAAAATGTCGGGTGTCAGTCGTTCAAGGTGAACGAGATACAAAAGCTGCAATATGAGGCCGTAAAATTTTACTTGATATAGATTTTAACAGATGCATTTTTTTTTAAACTGTCAAATCATTTAACTTTCCACTGACTTATCAATATCGTGATGTCATTCAGTATCGTTGAAATACAATTAAAAAAGAAGATCACCTCACAATCCACTTAGTTCCTGAGTGCCTATTTTTTAGTCACGCAGCGTAAAAATACTACAAGAAATACTACAAATAAGCTTTTAATTGCACTACTTGGATCTTGAATCTTATCTTTTCTTCAACTCTTAGCACATTTTTCTCAAGCTTATTTTTCTGGAACTTTTTAACTCGTCTGGAGGCATGCAGCTTTAACATCATTTTTTTTCTCCTTTTTTATGAAAAATAAGCGCAAGACCCCTTACCTCATTTGCGTTTCCTTTCAACCAATGAGACGACTTCTGTGGAATCTTCCTTAATTTGCGGCATAATTCTCTGAACCTGAATAATTTTGCCAGCACTTTCCACATAAACATGAAAATTATCCCTAAAAGCACAGTTTTCATTAAAATATCCATGATTCTATAAAGGAAATTCTGAATGAAAACATGAAACTTATCTGCCTAAATGATGTCCTACTTTTGTTATACTTGTTTTAAATCTATCGGTGCAAGTTATACTAAAGAACCACGTGATTCAAACATTGAATGCAGTGACATGATATTTACTTTTATAAACTTCAAATATTTAAATGAGCACAAGTTCATGAATAAAAAGCACGAAAAGATTAAATTACATCGATCATTGTGTTAAATCACATTAAACAAGACCCGACCGTAATAAAAGCTTGATTGACCATTCTCGGTGCTTAACGGTAAGAAAAAGGGCATAACTGTAAAGGGTATAAACCTGTAAGATAATCACAAAGAACAAGTGCGTGAAGTTTCATTTCCATCAGATCTAATGTTATGGAAATACCAGCATGCACGCGAAAATTTAACAAAGGTATAACAGCGATCGCCGACACCGACGCCGGAAGGAGGGGGGGGGGTGAGGCTAAAACAACAAATTCCCGGGGTTTTTTTTAAGAACGGTGTTGGAAGGGCATTCATAGAGTTTAATTTTTGAAATTATTGTTTGCACATCTCTTGTCCATTTTGATTTTTTGTATATGCTTATTTTTGTGTACTAAATTGAGGTTCGTTTGTAATGAAAAATCCAAAGTTGCTAGATAACAGAAATAAGATGTGCTAGATATTGAATTGTTAAATATTTACATTATTATCGGCAGGTTATTTATAGAATTAATGTGATCGCACTAGGTTAAATTTATAGCGATGATAAATTGAAATTAGTTTTAACTGTCAAGTTTGAAGTTCAGCACTAAAACAATGGAGATTTTAACAAAAACTTTACTAATTGGTGTTGTTGTTTTCATTATTTGGAAACTTGTGACAAGTTTAATGTCATATATACAGCTTGTAAGAAAATTCAGGAAAATTCCACAAAAACCGTCACATTGGCTGTTTGGACATGGCAAACAGGTAAAACCTTTTCTGTATTCACCTGTTGACATTATAACTCTTCCTTCTATCAGAAGGAAGAACTATTTTTGTTGACACTCTGTAAACGTGATGCTATTATACTTCACATAGAAATCCATAACATTCAGAATGTATATTGACCGCGCCTTTATGTTCTAGTTTCACTTTGGGTTAAGAAAAACAGTATAATTGTGATCATTGTACAAAGAAGCAAAGTTTAGTTAAGAAAACACGGCAAATATGTAATTACTCATCACACATTGTATCTGAACTGTTATACAAATGTAAGTTATGTCTGTTTGATTTATTTCTTCAGTTTCTTTAAATACATAGTACCTCCCACCGCACCCCGCCTGCACCTCTTCAAATCGGATGAGTCCATTAAATTGTTTATTGCATCAGAAAAGCCCGTTTCAAAGTCAAAGCAAACTAAATCTACATGATACTGTTATCGTTATCGCTTATGTAACACTGTTGTTTATTACGGTAGAATGGAAAAAGCGATCTTTATAAAGGGACCACGGGATCTTCATTGAATTGTTAAATATTTATATTATCATCATTAGGTTAGGTGGTCCCACGAGGTTAACTTTATATCGCTGATAAATTGTAATAAGTTTTAACTGTCAATTTTACAGTGCACACTAAAACAATGGAGATTTTAACAAAAACTTTACTTATTGGTGTTGTTGTTTTCATTATTTGGAAACTTGTGGCAAGTTTAATATCGTATATACAGCTTGTAAGAAAATTCAGGAAAATTCCACAAAAACCGTCACATTGGCTGTTTGGACATGGGAAGGAGGTAACCCCTTTTTGTATTTGTGAACGTTATAGTTATTCCTTCTCTTATGAAAGAAGAACTATATTTGTTGAAACCCTCTGAGACTTGATGATATTAAACTTTACATACAAATCCAAAGCCTTCATCTGCAGAAGTATATGGTCCGCACCATTCCCAAGGACGGCGCCATTTTGATATCAGGAAGTTTTACTTTTGGTTCAGAAAAACAGTATAATTGTGATCATTGTACAAAGAAGCAAGTTTAGTGAAGAAAAATGGCAATTAGGGTTATTAATCATCACACATTGTATCTGAACTATAATATAAATGCCATGTATTCGTGTTAAATATATTTCATCGGTTTCTGTAAATACAAAGTGCCACCACCGCACCCCAACTGCACCTTTTTTCAAATCTGAAAAGCCCAGAAAACTAAATCTAAATGATACTACTTAATAATCGTTATCGATTATGACACCCTTTTGATTACTACGGTAAAATGAAAAAAAAACGATCGTTATAGAAGGACCATGGTTTCTTCATTGAAAGCGATCGTTATAGAAGGACCATTGGTTCCTCATTGAAAGCGAGCGTTATAGAAGGACCATGGGTTCTTCATTAAAGATAAACTATGCTCATCTTTGGGTAAAATATTTTTATCTTAGAAATGTATTGAAATCCATGAAATTCTTACTGAACATGTTTAATTTGAATAAAATAATGAATAAACTATGTATGGGAAGCTGCATTCTCTATTACCGGTCAAGTAAAGTTGGTCTTTCCTTAAAAAAACTGCCAGTTTTTTTAATGACACTATATATTCATATTGTGACCACCTGTAGTTTGTAGAGTTCGAAACATAACATATCTACTTTAAATTAAGTCGAAACACGTTTCTTTTATACATACAAAGAGATTGTGAAGCAATTATTAATATTTTTAAAAATCAAGTTTGAGCATAGTATACCTTTAAAAGCGAGCGTTATAGAAGGACTATGGGTTCTTCATTGAAAGCGAGCGTATAGAGAGACCATGGGTCTTCATTGAAAGCGAGCGTTATAGAGAGACTATGGGTTCTTCATTGAAAGCGAGCGTTATAGAAGGACCAGGGTTTTTTTCATTTTAAAGGGGGTTTTAATCACATTTAAATGTTCATGGTTCAAAATCATTTTCTCAAAAATCGGATCATTTTAGACATTTTTTTAAATTTTATAGACAAAAAAAATAATGATTGATCATCAGCAGCATTTTTGCTTACGACTTTGAACTAAGCTGTTATAAATATATATTTTTAAAGACAAATGTATAGCTCCTTTACCTGACCTCCATTTTGTAACCGTATTTATAAATTTAGTGAAAAAAATGTGCAAAGGATTGGCTTTATACGTTAAGAAATGATTAACATCACTGAGCAATAAAAAGTGGTGACTGAATAATAAAAAGTGGTAAAGCGTGCCTTAACTTAGCACAAGAAACACACTGGCAGTAACAAAAGTTAACAGAAGAACTCTAGGACATTTGAAAAATTGGGCATAAATTTGTTTTTTGCAACTTGAAGGTGCAGTAATGTGTCGTAAAGATAACAAAATGTAAACAAAGTATTATTTTGAGTTCCGTACAAAATACTGATTCACTGTAATTTTACCATTTACCAAACTGCAAAAGAAGCAAAGATAATTTCAACTCTATAGATTTCTGAAATTGTAAAAAGATACCAAAATTTAAAAGTTTTTTAGAAATAAAAAATACAGCATTTCTGAGGCATAATTGGCCTTTAAGCAATAGTCATTTCAGTTAATTGTCGTACATTCACTTATATGGTGGAATAAGATAACAATTCACTTTTATTTATTATTACATAATTATTTATATTAAAGTGACATTATGCTCATTTTTTCATTGTCAAGTTGAGGTGAGTCGACCATGTATATATCAACAGATCGACTGTTATAATGGTATTAACCTAAAATAAAAAAAGACTGTCACACTCATTTAATAAATTAAACTTTACAGGTAAACTCCGATGGATGTTTACAGAAATTTCCTTGGGCCACGTATGCTAGTAATTAATAAATTTGAAAGGACCTAACAAAATGTAAACTTTTATTGAACTCATCATGTGTCCTTGGATTGGGATAATGGCCTTATTAAAAAAATGTTATATAGATATTCCTATTTTACAGGTCAAAGATTCCATTACATATGGAGATTATGTAATGGACGTTATGAGAGGAGGTGGCAGGCTTTATTGCATGTGGAACGGTCCATTTCCTGTATTAGGGGTGTGTCATGCTGAGACTTTCCAGCAGCTTAATAAACAAGTATCAGACAAGGCACGAGGCATTGCTGATGGTTACCGGATATTGGAAAAATGGCTAGGTGACGAAAGAGAATCATCTCATTCTTTTTCTATAACTTTTAACGAATCTTAAAAAAATATTACTTAGATTCAGTTAATTTTTTTATAATTAACAGTAAACATAAATCGTTCAGTCAGATCATTCATTTGCCTTTCTGGTGACATCGTCCTTCGACTTGTTAGATATAAACTGTTGAATAATAATTATAATAACCAAAATCAAATGAGTTTAGTATAAAAAATGATGATATAAAAAATTGTATGATTTACAGATAATTTTTGCATTCAATTATAACAGTTATTCTTTTTTATTTTGACCCCAGATATATAGTTTGGGAAGGCATTTAACTGATATACTTTACTGCCTGTGCGTTCGGAATGGCGGGGCCAAAACTTAATTAAAAATTGAAAAGTTTGAGTCCTCGTTATCCACCCCCCCCCCCCCGGGGGATACAATTGACTGATACGTACTATTCTAGATTCTTTAACTTTAAATATTTCCACAGGAGAAGGTCTGTTGATAAGTAATGGAAGGAAATGGGAAAGAACAAGGCGCTTGCTTACACCAGCATTTCATTTTAACATTCTAAATGGATATGTTGATGTCATGAATGACGTCACAGATTTGTTCTTGGTAACTATTTAGAATAATAATTCTGGCCATATTTCATCTCTGATAATGCTGAATAATGCATCGTTTAAAGTAGATTCAATGAAATGAGCTTATGAGTACAATGAGTATACAGGGTCGTTATGGTAGTGAAATCTGAAATTTCTTTATAGTAGAGCAAATACTTATAGAATTTTCTTAAATTATATTGGCCATCATTCGTTTAAGGCCCAATATGCTTCAGAATAGCTATCATTTTTATCTAAAAACTTGTTTATTTTGGTACCTTGTTACAGTTTTCCAAAAACATACTCATTTGTTATATACATGATCTTTCTTTTGCATCATCTTGAGCATTGTTGGCAATAGGTAAAATCATAGTGAATTAGTACTTTGTATGGAAAAAAATACCAGTTTATTTACATTTTGCTTCTTTTCAGCATATTACTGTATGTGCAGCACTACGTTTGCCTGTTATAAAACAAATAACATGCTCTTAATCTATTATTAAACACGTTTGACATTTGCAAAGAATTTTGAAAAATCTGTATCTGAGGTATAATGTGCCTTTAATAAAAAAATATGAATGTAGGATAAATTGGAGGCCGTGACATCAAAAGGCCAGTCAGTAGATATATTTCCATATGTATGCAGAGAGACACTTGATGCCATGCTGAAATGTTCATTGTCTTATGAAGGCAGCATGCAAGACGTTGAACAGTATGTAAATCCAGTAAATTTATTTATTAAAATCTAAGTATTTCAGTATATCTTATTCACTAAATTTTTGGAGAAATTGCGGATAATTCTATCACACCTTCCTCGTACTCCACAGAGTTTTCTGGAAACAATTTTTCTAGATAAATGTTCTATTTGATGTGGGCCTAGACAAATGACTTGTGTGCAAAATTACTCCGTTTTTTCCAGTACATGTATGTGCAATATTGCATTTTTTTTCTAATATTTATTGGTACTGATAACGTTCTGTATAATTATACAGTTTGTAGATTTAGTATTATGTATATCTTAACAGAGATATTTATCAGTTGCACATATATTTCAAAGGTAGAATACCTGGAACCAATTTTCACATGTTATTAATTAAACCCGAAGTTTTAATAGCATGTATTTTGTTATATGTAACTATTTTCGTTTGTGTTTATACTAATTTACAAATGTATCGACAAGCAAAATCTTAAAACCCTACAGAAAAAGAAAAGAATGCTTACTTCCATTTTAACCTTAACAATATTACAGTTATTTTAAGTTTCACATGCACTTATTTTACAACATGTTATGTAATATATTTTTCAGACATGAGTACATTTCGTCCATCCAGCGCGTCATTCATATTATGTGGAGTCGATTGGTGTAAGTACATATTTCTTTGGAATGATTTTAAGTTAGATATATAGATCGAGGCCCATTATGCCTCAAAAATATTATCATTTTCAATTCTAAATGTATTTTATTTTTGGTATTTTGTTACAGTTTAAAAAGAGTTACTCATTTGCCATATAGTTGAAATAATAATAATTGTTAATTAGTTTTTAGAATTGAAGTCAAAATACTGATTTGTATATATATTTTCCTACCTTTATGAAACATTTCAGCAGATTCAGTGCAACGTTCCTCAACTGTTAAATATCTTATATGCTCTAAATCCATTATTAAAACATTATTTACATTTCTAAAGAATGTAATAAATATGGATTTATAACGCATAACATTCCTTTAACTAGCATAGTACGGCATATTTTATCACACACATTAATCACACATTGAAAGTTCATGGAGACCGTCGTATGAACACATCTGCGAATGTTTCTTAATTCAAGGTTTCACTGTTTCATTTTTAAATGTTGAATTCTGCTTTAGTCTGTGCTAGTGGGCCTGGACAGTATCGCCAATGAACAAGTTCAATCAAACTGAGACTTCAACATTTTCAATTTTGTCGTTTTGGTCGCTCTTTATGCATTCCGTTTTCTTTATATTGTCCTTATACTTAAATGGCTTCTGCTGTGCTGATTTTAATATCAGTTGACTCAAAACTACTGAAGATTTTTCGCATTCACTCTTACGTCTTGTGTTATAATATTTATGATTAAGTCTTTTTGTAATTGTGTTTTGTACAATGAAATTACCTTATACAAAACTGAGAATTTTTTGTGCTTTTTTGTGTTTACAGGAACCCTTTACTACTATTTGACTTCTTCTTTCGGAAGACTAGCCTTGGACAGGAACACGATCGTCTGATAAAGATTGCACGAACATTTACTGGGGATATCATTGAATCTAGAAGGAAAGTTCTGGTGAATATGTTGTGGTCTTTTATTATAAGTATATTTAAGCTAAACATATGAGGCTTTTCCAGTCGAAGGGGGGTGATGAAACCGCTTCTTTGTCCTGATAATGGTATAAAAAAATTGTGTGGTCTTCATTTTATATGAAGACATGTGGTCAAGTTCCGTATACTGATGCAATACCTTCTTAAGAATGTTATTTAAAAGTTTTGAATCGTAATAACAAATTTTAAATCTTAATGTTTTAATACACACAAACTTGAAGAAAGATCTGATAGAATAGTTACTACATACATGAGATCAAAAGAAGAAACTGACTATTACATAGATCTTTGGAAGATTACGAGAACCATCTTATCATTTATTGGATACAGAATAATTATTATAACCTTAAATATATGGTTAACTTAATAATATTTTGATCAACAAAATCATACTTTTTATATAAAAATGGCAACTCTTTGTCATGTTTTATAAATAACGAACAACATTTATTTTGATGAAATAACAATATTATGAAAAACATGACAACGTTGCTCTTTTTGGTTATCAAGAAAGAACATCCAGATGCAATAAAGCAAAAACGACGTCTAGATTTCCTTGATATTCTTCTTACTGCTAAAGATGAAAATGGGAAAGGATTGACAAAACAAGAAATACAAGACGAAGTGGATACATTCACATTTGAAGGTATAATAAAACATTTTTGGATGAGGAATAGGTGTAATAAAAAAATATTCATAAGATGATTTACTTTTAGAAAACATATTTGAATGTAAAAAGTACCATAGAGTTTTAATAAAAACAATAGTATTGTTACAATTAAAGGTGAAGAAAACACATTTAAGAGCCTTTTACGTCAACATTTTAGTGATGATTTAAAACTACGAATTATTGCATGTATAATTTAAGCTGAAAATTTAGAAATTAACCTTGATGAAAATTCTAAACAATATGTAGTCATCATAAAATGAAATGATATATACTTATATTTTCTTTTGTAGCATATATGATCCTTTTCTGAAACACTGGCAGAATTCTTTTATAAAATATTGTTTATTTTTGGTTTATTTAGTCGAAGTCATAAATTTCACAGGCGACTATGAAAACAAACACTCGAGATTTATTCTAAATGGTTTAAATGATTAGAATATGGAAAACCATTGCTTGATAGAATATATTTACCATTTTCATGCTTGAATTTTAAATTTTGCTTAAGGCGGTGATAGGGGGCGTGGACGGTATTATGCAATTCCAGTTCCGTCCATGAACAGCTCTGTCAAACTAAGCATGCACAATTTTCAATTTTGTCGTTCTGGACGTTCTTCAGTGAATCCGCTTTTCTCTATTTGTTATATCTTTTTTGGCTAAAAATATATATTTTTATTGAAATATCTTCGATTTATGAATTTGTAATATTCAATCTAAATACATATGATTTATATACTGTAACATTAAAAAGTGTTATTATTTATTCAATAGTACATTCTATATGGATGAATAAATACTAACAGACAGTAGTATAACTATGTTTTGTTGTCTTTTATCCAAGGACATGATACAACATCGTCTGCAATAAGCTGGTCAATATACGCTCTTGGACAACACCCGGAATTACAAGAGAAGGTTTACGAAGACGTCCAAGCTGTATTAGATGACAACACCAAAGTAACACAGTAAGACTTTTGTCACAATATATTAGTAATTTGTTACTTTGATACACTCATTTGTCAGTTTCTGTTCATTTTCTTCTACACTCATTTGTCAGTTTCTGTTCATTTTCTTCTACACTCACTTGTCAGTTTCTGTTCATTTTCTTCTACACTCATTTGTCAGTTTCTGTTCATTTTCTTCTACACTCATTTGTCAGTTTCTGTTCATTTTCTTCTACACTCATTTGTCAGTTTCTGTTCATTTTCTTCTACACCCATTTGTCAGTTTCTGTTCATTTTCTTCTACACTCATTTGTCAGTTTCTGTTCATTTTCTTCAAGCAGTTTTTGCTCTGTTAAAAGAAGTATATCTAACTCTAAATGACTTTCTTGTTTCTCAAACAACTTGATGGAATGGATGAAATAGAACGAACGTGTCCCACTGAAAGTTTCATTATATATTCACCGTATATTTAGGATGTTCCTAAATTCAAAATTTCATTACTTGTTAAATTCACATGTAGTAAAAAAAGTAGTACTAGAGGACGTCCTATATTTCTAGTGACCTTTTCCGAGTCAGACTTAAAACTATGTCAACCGTTATCAGACTGAACTTATTTAAGTACCTTTTTTAAATGTTTATTAAAACTGGCGAAATTCTTATATAGATAACACTGTTCAAGCAACTTTTGTAGGACCTTGAACTATATTTAACCATAGGTTGTAGAAATAGGACACATATTCATATATAAATGACATTGGTTTAACACTTCAAATGTTAAACAGTCCATATTGATATTGACGTAAATAAATTTAATCTAGACCATATAAAATGAGTCATACATGCCGTTTGTAAACAATTATGAATTTCCATTTACAATCTATAAAATTTCTATATGATATAATAAATAATTGAATGGATATTGATTATAATAAAAATATTATAATCTGGAAGCATGGCTAGAAACCTTAAATAAAGTATTAGAATATTAAAAATCACTGCCACCTAAAAGTGTTATTGCCAACAATATGTATATCCAAAATTTCACCATTTTATGTTAAAATGTTCATTACTACTTAAGTCCTTGTTATGGCGCATGGGACTTGGAATGTAGCTTCTATTTATGAAAACTACCGCTTATACACTTATTGAATTAGACAAAATCTCAGTATTTTAAATTTTGACTTTTTGGTTACTAATTTAGGGATTTCATTTTTCGCTATTTGATTTTCTTTTCACAGGCTTTATAAATCGTGTATCATTGGTATGACATTTTCAATGTAAGATTAAAATCCAAAAACCTATTTTTATCATAGTAGCTGCTAATAATAGATTTATTCACATTTGTAGGGTTTGCATATCGCAGTTCAAATATTTGCCACTCTTCATCAAGGAAGTAATGCGGTTTTACAGCCCAGTTCCAATGATTGCCAGGAAACATTCCAAACCAATAACCATCGATGGGATGGAAATTCCTACTGGTCCAAGAGTTGACATTTATATACACGCTATACACCATAATCCTCAAGTATGGAAAAATCCGGAGGTACCTGTGACATATTTGATTATCTATATGGTACCCTTTCTATCTTTCTTTGTTTATAATATAGTCTAGCTATATACAGAACTACTGTACATTGGTCTATTTCATCTATTTATCATTTCTTTCGTCGCTTTTCGTTTTCATAGAACTGTGTGGAACGAAATATATATATAAAAAACAACAACTTTGATACAGTCGAGTAACTGGTGTTTTGTGTCATTAACACTGTCCATGAATCTCTTTTAAGTATACACATGCAATATTGAAATGCGCATTTCTAGAACCAACAAAAACGAAATATTTCAAACATTCCAAAAGCTTTGTTCCTTAAATAGCTAAAATTTACCCGGCTAAGTAGTTATCATTACATCATTGCTTTGTTCTACTTATGAATACTATATAATTTTTGTTTCTATTAAATTCACTATGGACTGGTATTTTTTCTATGAAATTAATGTAAGCATATGAAATTTATCAATTATTCTCTGACCCCTTAAACACTTCCGTCGCGTTTGTTCTTTCACACAATTCATTTTGCATTTTAAAGACTTATGAATGTCTTAAACCTCTCAATATACTGCCTAATTTAGATCGCGTAACAAGAACTTACTTTTAGAAATGTAGCGTCATATTAATAAGCATACACGAGTATGGGAAGAAACAAATAGGTACATACATATATGAACTTAGTTTGGTGAAAGAGCTTTCAAATGACGATTTATGCTTTGCTTGCTAATTTTATTTTCACTTTTGTCATTTGAACATTTATGTTACATTTAAGGAATTTAATCCAGACAGATTTGACGCCGATCATCGGGATGAAACAGATATTTATGGATATATTCCTTTCTCAGCTGGAGCAAGGTTGGTAGTTGCTGATAAACTCGATCTTACAATGTCTTGGATTGGTCTTTTTAGGCCTTATAACTCATTTAAATCAAGATCTTGTATGTTGTCAAAGAATATTGTTTTGATGTTGGTAAATATATCAGTGGTTGTTACCACAATGTAAGGCAATGTTGCTCATGCGTATACAGTAGGAATAGGTGCGAAATGATATATATCCCTTATGTACGAAAACCCGGTGGGGACTTTTAAACCTCACGAATTCACAATTTCAACTTCACAAAATTATGATTTCAACTTCATAAATTCACGATTACAACTTCATTATTTCAGGATTTCAACTTTACGCCGTTGAAGTTGAAATCGTGAAAACATGAAATTGATGTGACCCCACTGGCCTTTCGTACTTTCGGAAATACACCTTCTTAACGTTATAAATGTGCTTTCATTTTCTTTATTTTTCAGGAATTGTATAGGACAAGTGTTTGCTTTGAATGAAATCAAGATAACTCTTGCAAAATTTGTCAAAAGGCAAGTATTATAATATGATAACCCGCATTCATTACTTAAATTACATCTATGATAATGTGAACTTCTGAAAAAGATAGATACACAATTAACAAGGGAATCAATTTTATGGAGTTTACCATTGCCGCACATAAACGTGATCAAGACAATAAAATAGAGAAAAAACGGAACCCCTAAACATGCCCAAAATGACAAACTTGAAAATGTTGCATACTCGGTTTGATTCAGACTGCTCCATTTTTCAAGTTTGCCGTGTAAGGCACTCTTTAAGTTTTCTTGACGAATATGAGTTGGATTGTATTAGTTTGGGTAAAACTTCGTTTCCGGATTGTAATTATGTTGTGGATATGACTATTTTCAGATTTGAGGTAAAACCAGTCAAGAGCCACACGCCAAAACTTCAACCTGATGCCATTATGAGGTCACTCAATGGACTTCCGATACAACTAAAGAAAAGATAACCTAAAACGCAACTTTATTACATGAAATCATAATGTATTTAACATTTGCTAACAGATTCTTATTGTTTTCCTCTTCATGTGACAAAATAACAAGACCCCACACTAGAAAGATATTTTAAATTACGCTGATGTCAAGAGACACTTAAAATACAGCATGCAAAAATTAACTTTATGTACGTCTTTTCTTGAAGTACACATAGACATTTTACCATGATACTGACAAATACAAAAGATGGACGTTGAAATGACAAAACACGTTTTCTCCACATTTCACGGACACCACAATTTTTCGATGTATACGTTTTATTTATTATAATTTATTCATTTATTTATTCAAGTAAGATAGTATTTCCTTTTATATACGTACAAAATGTAAATTTTCTATTAAAAAGGTCGATTATGAATTACATGCATACGCTATTTTGTATCTCACTAAATTCCATATCTATGTTTATACTTCAGCCAGACTTGTCTAAACGTCATTAACAACTGTCACTTGCCATATTATAGTACATGATTGATTTAAACTAAGTATATCAGTAATTCTATATTGGAAAGGTGCATCATATCAATGTTAAACCTTTTTCAAAACATCTTCCCGACGGTTTTTATAACGCATCAGCCACGTTCGAGTCTAAAAATAGAAGATAGAAAAGCAAATCGTCTGCTTTACTAATTTAAAGTGACTGCACTGAGGTTTAAAAGTCTAAAAACATAAACATTTGAATTTCTTACATAAATGAGCCGGGGCACTTAAAATAGAAAGATATGCAAAGTGAGTTAAGAAATATACTTGAAATAAATTGAAAATCGTGAAGTTTTGCACAAAGATTAGTGGTCTAAACCTTCATCAAATGGTACAGATGAATATCTTCAGTCCCATCATGTAAAAAAGCCTCAGTGGAGTCCCTTTAAAGTATCGAGGGTTTTCCTCATTGTTTATGTATTTTATCGTCAACGAATTTCATTTTCACCTTTATTCTATTGATTTGACAATTATATGAAAGATTTATGTAAACAAACATATTTTATCCTTTAGAAAAGCTGGAGGCCGCTTGAATACAAACAGCTTTTCAAGCAATGAACCTTATGCCATGTTATTGCAGTAATAAATTTAGATAGCCTTTGGTAAAGCTGATTCAAATATATTCCTGATCAGACAAAAACATACAACGGTGAACTCATAAATCCATAAATCTTCTGTTTTAATATACACTTGTAATATTCATGTGTTGTGTAAAATTGACACAAAGGGTGTTCCATATTTCTAGTGACCTAATGTATTTCCACATGTCTAGTCAGACTTTAAACTGTGTCAAACGTTATCAAACTAACTGATAGTATTTTAGTACATATTGTTTGAATGTTAAAGAAAACTGGTGAATAACCTTATATAGATAACACTGCACTGTTTAAACAACTACTGTCGTACCTTGAACTATATTTCACCATATGTTGTAGAAATAGGACATTCTTATACATATGTTAATGATATTGGTTTAACACTTTACATGTAAATGTTAAACAGTCCCTACTGATAGTGACACATTTAATCAAGGTCGAATGATGTTTGTCATACATATAGCCTTAACAGCTACGAATATATATTTACGCGAGTACTCTATAATTTTTCTTTACATCAATATAATAAATAACAGTGCGTTTTTTCATAAAATAAATATTACAATCTGGAAGCACGGCTAGAAAAGCATGTTTTTCTCAAATTGTATTGTGAATTATAGAATATTGTTTATGTTCCCCTCGCGTTTCTTACCCGCAAATATCATTGCTACCCAGAATGCTTTACCGCCAAACAAAAAACAAGAGATTTTCTAAATTTTGAAAAAAGGTCAATATGTATCAAATCCATGTCTTTGCCTTGTAAATTTACAAAAACTTTCAAACTTTGGTTCTATAAAAACTCTTAACAGATGCCCAGCATTCACAATTTTTGAAATTTATATAAATCCGATAAATATGTTCAACAAGAGACAACGCCGGGGAGAGACATGCTCGACTATTTTACTTTTTCTAAAAGCAAACAAATAAACGGTTGAAACAAATCTTTAAAAAATGAAAGAAAGAAAAAAAGTTTTTCTAGTCTAGCCACACTTTTTGTTTTGTCCAAGAATGCCATGTCATTAGTGAATGGAGGTCAAGGTTAGTCTGGCTTAATTCAAGGGTTGTTGTCGTCAGGTTAAGTATGTAGACAATACTCTAAAAACTTCAAAAAAGTAATAATCAAGGTTCAATTTTCGCAACGCCGACATGACAATATCAATAACTCTATGTATTTATTTTTTAAAATAATAAAGATATTTTACCTTGGCCTACCTACCCTATTCAAACAGCATGTGTCGCAAGAGACAAAAATAATAATTTTAAGACCAGCATTAAATCCTACCCTTGTTGTATGCAATAAGTAATATTTGAATTTTCAAATGTTGCATTTTTGGTTTGACTGGAACTGTTCATACACATCAAATATAACTTACATGCTGACAAATACTAACTCAAAATTTACATACATGTTATGAATGCTCTGAGTCAATGTAAATGTGCTCATGTGTTCGGGATCTTTTTAATTTCCTTGTCGGTTTCTTTGTTTTTATTATGTATTAATAAAGTAATTGCCCAGTCCGTGCTTTGCCTTATGCCCTGTCCTTCTTTTGTTTGGTGTCCTCCTTGGCTCCTTGTCGGTGGTCCTGTGTAGGGGTTGCGTTCTCTGAACGCCGCCCTTCCTTAATGCACTTGTTTTTCATATTTTAATATCCTTCCTTGTCGTAAAATTATATCCCTTTTCCGATTTATTTGTACACGATATTGTCTTATTAGATGTTGTAGGCATTTCAAATATTCTATGAAATTCCAATCAAATATTGCATTGTTATAAAGAAGCAACTGTATTACTTCTTTATAACAAAAAAAACCAACAACAAATCAACAGCAACAACGAAATACAAACATAAAACAAAACATAAATGCAATCAGCACTTCTTATGCGAATTATCCTGGCTTTGCACAGGCTAGAAAACAGCACTTATTCATCAGAGGAAGATGTTTCAAAATGTTTTGCATAAGAATAATTAATGACTTTTTTATAATGTTCACTCACGTGCATTGGTCGAATCTGTCATTATCGCCGACTTTCTTACTAAGCTGTGAAGGGAGCATATTTAATATGGTACTGGACAATATAATTCAACAACAAACAGATTTTCCTGAATATTATAGGTTTATAATCTAATTTGGAATTTAACAGCATTCATTCAATGTTTCAAAATATCAATAAACATATTATTATCAACGAATCGAACACTGTAGAAAAAATATTGACTTGAATATTTTAACATGTATATCAAAAGGATTTGCGTTACAATGTGATCTTACTAAAATATTGTTTACTGCTATATTAAACTCCGTAAACAAAACACATTTGCTATATGGTTGTATTCAGTCTCAACCGTATATAAAACAAGTGACGTTGAAGCGTTCAGCATACCCATTACAATAGTGTTCATTTTCAAGGATTGTTTCATTTCCCACACCATGCTTATCTGGATTTAAGGGTGACTGGGAGTCCAGTGAAAGATCTCATTACTATATCCGGTAGCAATTCGTGTTTGTGACCCTTAACTGGTAGAACTTCATACCTGAATTTAAAAAATAAAATGTAATCAATCTTTTATATGAAAATTAAAAAAAATAAGGATATATTCAACGGCTGTCAAATTCTGTGTTTCAGTGTTACACAGTTGCTTCAAAATATCATATTCCGGTTCAGTGTTGTAATATATTGCAGGTCATAGTCCATATTATCATAATATCTCAAGAACAGACTTTAACCAAACTGAGTCCGTTTTTTTACCTGTTATTTTTTTGTTTATGTTAAATGAAATAATGGAGTAAAGTTCTTAGTTATAACTTATACAGAGGTGAAAATGAATGTAGAGGTGTTTTATGAAAACCAAAAATTCTTCGATTTGCACAGTTTTGTCAATTGCGTTATTCAAAATCAAATTTACAACAATACAAATATGATTCAAAAAACGGTTTAATTAATAAAAATCATTTATTTATTGCTAGAAATCATTAAATGTGTTACCTCTTTACTAGCTTTGCAAGCACTATTTTGATCTCATTGTTTGCAAATACTTGCCCAATACAATTCCTAAAATGAAATTATTACAATCATAACAAATATTCGTCTCAAATATTTACACTTAACGTATATAGTAGCATTTCTTACGTTTAAATATTCCAAAGATATGCATAAAAAATTTAATAATGCATATAAAAAAGTATAAAGAAAGAAAAAACAAACATATGGAACCACTTAAAACAATCAAACTAATTCAAACAACACTTATCAAATGATACTCAATTTGATTTTCGAATCAAAATTTTTGTACTTTTACGTTTAACACCTTGATTTTAAAGTATGACTTTAAAAAAACTCTTTTTGCAAACACTACTTCTGTGAAAATGAATAATCTTAAAATACATTGGGACTGAATCTGGTGGTCTCGAAAAGTGGATAGGTGGGGTGGTCTTAATTCTGGATCATGTAACTATTGATGTAAAGAACAGAAAACTCCGTTCGTTTTAAAAAAAGACAGTGTTAAAAGTGGGGTGGTCTTTATATCGAGGTGGTCTTAAATAGGGATCATACAGTACCTTGAACCTGCTGAGAATGGAATGAATCCGTATATTTCATTTGAATCTCGGCGCTCGGTGTTGAATCTACATGGATCGAATACCTTCAAATATAATGTTGAAATATTACCTTCAAGATATTGCTATATTTATTCTATATTTTTCAAATATAACTGGTTTTTTAATGTTATGGTCTTATTAGTATTTTAGGGAACTTGGGTTCAGCTAATTGATTCATTAATTTATGAAAATCAATGTTTTCACCCAGTCAATGATGTATTGATATTATACGTTGTACGTGTTTAATTTGAGTAGCGAAATAGGATCACTAAAGACAGCCCTAGATGAGAAATATGTTAATGTTTCAGGATCATGTTCATGGATGATAGTGGTAAATAAACGCTTTTGCTCTATTTTGATTTAAAATATGAAACACAAAATCAACAAGGAAGGGCAACGTTCAATGAACGCATATCCAATACCAGAGTTGGCCGGATTAACTCAATTTGCTTTTATAATCCTTGTGTTTGAGAACAAAAATAGCAATAATGATTTAGCAACTATAATTGCATAAACATGCCATGTAATCACTTCGTATTTTTCATTTTATCCTTATTTATATGATTAAACAAATATCTGTAAGTATAATCGTTAAACAAACAATTGTTGGTATGCGTGCATGGTAGAGGAATTTCGAATGTTGAGTAAAAAATCAAGTCATCATTACCTCAGGGCATTTCCAGATCTCTGGATTGTGGAGTATGGCTCGTAAGTTAATATCAATTCTTATGTTAGGTGGCACCGTCTTGCCATCTAGAACAACTTCTTTAGAGCTTTGTCTGGATATCAATGGAACTGTGCTGTAAAACCTCATCACTTCTTTAATAAACTGTGGGAGGTACTTGAACTGATTCATCTCGTTCCTGAAAATCATAAATGTTTGATGCACGTTTTTCTTTATTACATGTTTTGTTCGTTGTTTTTCAGTGTTTTTATTATTGTTTTGTTGTTGTTTCTTATTTTCAAAATATGTTTAGCGTATGGTAGCTGTAAAGTTGTACACAACTTAGTAATGCTGTATTGTTCTGATCCTTTGTGATCATAAAAGCCAGCGCGTTAGTGTTTAAGAATGAAAACCGTTAGAGCCGGTACTGAGGGGCTTGATAAATATTGTCCTGATCCATTATCTCTCTTGAACAGACTCAATCAACCGAGTCTGCAAAGTTCATATTTTATTTTTGTGTTTACTGCGTCCGGGGAATTAAACATTTTCCCGACTTTGTTACGTTCAATTACAGTAAACTAGATGTTTGCTGTCAGTAAAGAACTTATATCTAATTTTATACCCTGGTTAAACAACGGGATCACTGCATTTATCAATTCTAGCAATGATATATATTATAAAATTATGATTGATATTTTTCTTAAAAAGATTGAGTATTACTTTTAACTTAATATAGATAAACGGATGGTACAATTGTTGCTAGATAAGTTTAAATGAGTGGTTTTTTGTAAATGCAAAATTCCGTCAACATTCCCTAGCACCGGCTAATGCAGAACTGAACAAAATATATGACATTGTCGTTTTAAGTCGATGGCAACTTAATTGTTGATATTTCAGTGATGAATATGTATATCTTACTGTGTTATTTCGTCGACATCATCAGCAACATTGATGACATCTTGGTACACCTTTTCCTGTATTTCCGGATATTGCCCCAATGCATAGATAGCGTAACTAATTGCCGAGGCTGTCGTATCATGACCTGTTTTGCAAAGGGATGAAAAAATTTAGTACTGTTTTTCATATTTCAAACGTAACGATACAGTTAATATATGTATCATGTAATAGAGAGGAATAAAATTCCAAAAGAACGCACAAGACGTCAAACTTGAAAATGTTGCAGACTCAGTATGATTGAGCCTATTTATGGACTGTACCGGACAGTTTAAGCTACCTCCATGCCCCTTAGCACCGGTTCAAGCAGAATTTAACATTTAAACATGAAAATTGTGAAATATTGAATTTAAAGTATTAAGCATTGAAAACAATACCTCCAAAAGGCTTAATTAAATCAACTTGATTAATATACCTTCAAACGTGAATGTATCGACTTCGTTCTGTATTTCTTGCGGTGATAAGCCACGCCCTTGCTCGTCCTTTGCCGTTAACAATATGTCAAGAAAGTCAAGACGTCTCTTTAGTTTTGTGAGATCCGGCTGGTCTGCCTACAGTTTCAATTTCACTATTTTACATAGTAAGTAAATAAGGATCTACTCGCATTGTTTTATTTTGAAATGCCTTATATCAAAAATAAAAGAGTTTTTTTTATAAAATTTGAAAAACAGGAACCTTGGTCCAAACTTTTTAGGTCCTTATCATGGAAAAACGTTAAAGGTCCGGTTTGATCGAGCCTGATCCTGCACTGCAGTAAAACCGCTAACTGTGGTGCCTGTAACCTAAGCTTTTTATACCTTACTGGTTATAAGAAAAGAAAATTAATGCATTAGTGTTTTCTTCCTCTCTACTTATTCCAACCTGAATTGAATAGGTTGCAAAAACGTCAAGGCTGACATAAATGTATCAGATCATGGCGTCAATAAATGCATACATAATGTTACTATCTTTAATCGGTTTCCTTAACCATCTAACCTTGTCGAAAAGAATATATTCAAGTTGAAAAATTTGAAGCATGCATGTCACACCTCTTGTGTTTCAAACCGACTGCTAGCTCAACGTTTTCACTCATAAAATAAATAAACTCTTGAATTTTGTAACCTTGACCTTTTATAGTATAGAAATAATACCTAAAATACTTCAAATAAGAAATTGAATCTACCAGAAGTTTTTGCCTCTTGGCTATAATTTCCCCTGTGAATTTATGCACTTCTTTCACTAGTTTATTATGGTCACGTCCGGATGGAGACAAGTTAAAAACGAAGTCGAAAAGTAAAGGTGCTGACCTAGAAAATAAAAAGACATTATCATTTAATGATATTTGATGATCAAATATGGTATATTAAATATATATCATTGTTTTTCTGTCTCATTTTAAATGTAAAATAAACATCAAAGAAAATCTTTTTTTATAGGTAAACTCAGTAAAATGGCAGTTAAGGCAAAATCAATTTGACCAGTAATAGGAGATGCAGCCCCTAAACATTATTTGTGCATTCTTTTTTTTCAAATTAGTCATATTCCTAGATTTCAAAAAAATAGATTTTTTAAATAAATCTATTTTACCCCAAGAAGAGGAGTGTAACTATGAGGGCGTGTAAAAACGACTTCAGTACAAGGGTGCTAACACGATTGTATCTATTGACTTAAATCCTTCCGACAATAGAGCGATCTACTAAACCGAAAATCGAAATAGTTCGGCTATTGTCAATTTCCGAAGTTTGACGGAAAAGGTCGAGATAATGCGATTGCTACACCGCATTAAGACTTAACATCATCAATATTACCCACTAAATTGTGAAGTAAGGAGAGCTTAATAAAAAAGATATATTTAATGTACAAATGTACAGAGAACATTAAATGAACTTACGTCATCCTGTGCCATATTATTGTTGCTAATTTCTGAACTGCTTTAACGTAGGTGTGTCTAAAAGCAAACATATTCAACGTTATAAAATAGAATGGTTTTAGAGTCTTATTTGTTCACCTTTATACCTCTGTACCATCAATTGTCTATACAAATATATTTTAGGTTGGGTTTTACGTTGAACCAACACACTATAAGTCATATGGCGTTTGCTTTACTTTTGGAGGAAGACCTCGCTCAACTTATTAATAGATAAAAGCTGAATAATCGCTTAGATATCACAGTAGTTAAATATTAACATGTTACATGTATGATGATACAACGGTTTCAGGCTCGATTTCCCTTTACTATAACTAGAATAACCAAAAGCAAGTTTATGGTGGTACTTTTGGCTGAAACTTTTTGTATCACTTGTGTACATCTATAGACGTTAAAATTTTTGTAATCAGTACTTTCCTGGCAAGCCGCTGAATTCTTCGAGAGTCACTCATAATTATATGATTTAACTTAAATTAGTATAAAAAGATATTTTAGCAAAAAACACTTATTTTAAGTCGTGAAATATTTTGAAGCATCCGTAGATAGCAATTAGGCGACGCTTTTGGTCTGTTGTAAAGCGCAAGTGTTTTATCTTGAGTGACTTTGGTATTGTAAGATTCGATATCAAAATGAATACATTTATGATTACATACTCCACATTTTCCTGCATACTGCCATCATAGGACAAGGAGCAACGCAGCATGTTATCTAGAGTTGCTCTACACACATAGAGGCACACGTCCACTGATCCATTCTTTTGTGATGATTCATATATTTTATTCTAAAATAATGTGATGCTTCATATATTTTATTCTAAAATAATGCAAACCGAAAATAGCGATGATGATGATGATTTGGTTGTAGTTATTGTTGCTGTTGTTGTTGTTGTGGTTGTGGTGGTGGACGATGATAATGATGATGATAATGATGATGATGATGATGATGATAATGATGATTTGTATAAATACTAAAACAAAAGCAATAACTGTAAGTAAAAGTTGTTCGAGATTGCAAACTAAAAGAATCAAGTATTTGACTTCTCAAAGGTACCTCTTTCTGTTTACTTGTATACATTGTCAAAGAAACTTTCAACTTTAGCAAGTATAAAAAATAATTTAGCTACAAGACGAACATCACCAAATCTATGCCAAAATATAGGTTATAATTGTACCATTATTCAGGGTATTCTTGCGACATTGAGTGGTCTTACCAGAAATATGTCTGCAACATCATTCATCACGGTTACATATCCATTAAGAATGTCAAAATGGAACGCTGGAGTAAGGAGTCGTCTGTTTCTCTCCCACTTTTGGCTTCCGCTTACTAAAAGCCCTTCCCCTGAAATAAACACAGGTCAGATGTTGAATTGGCAAATAATAATAAAACATTGTTTAAAAATGACTGTTTTCAGGCTCTATGACTGCCATTGGCATGTTCACCCTATGACAAATTAAGTTGAGTTCAGGACTCTCGACTCGGGACGTGTTAAGAAATTTTTGTAACAAGCATACTCAAGAAAGATATATCAATGTTTGTAAAAAAAACTCGTATATATTCAAAATCACAAATAGAACTTTGCATGAGTTATGACAGAATTTACAATTTTCATCACCGTTTTTCGTTGCCTTTTCTAACAGAGCGAAGTGTTTATTTACATAGTTTGACATGTTATATCTATAGATATAAAATGCTAGGCTACGTACAATCACATATTTTATACGCTTGACACTGTTTTACAAAAAAATGCATACTTTGTTATTTTATGAAAACTAAGTAAACATGAATCTTCAAGCCCAGTACTTTATCTTGTGGCAAAAGTCCTCCAAATGCTAGAGCATGCACTATTTTAGATGCTGGAACCTGTAAATCACATACCAACCCATGGCTCAATTAATCTGTAAGGACCATCAATTTCTCGTGATTTGTTTAGCGCCTGTTTGTTAAGCTGTTGAAATGTTTCTGGATGGCATACACCGACCAGAGGGAACGGACCGTTCCAAATGCAATATATTTTATTGCCTTCTTTCATTAGATCATCGGCATACTTGAAATATGTTACCGAGTCTTTTACCTGAAAAAATATCTTTCCCTTTATATAGTGTTCCAATTAACTTACATGTGTTTTAGATTCAATATTTTTGTATGTATTTATAAAGTATACACTGAATAAATTTGTTTATTGAAAAGGATCGCTAGTTCTGGACAAGTATCATACTATTCATGATACAATACTCTATTTGTAAACGTTGAAACTATTTAATCTTTGCTTTAACTTAAAATTGCATATACATGATTAATACCAGAAAAGCATTAATAATAAATGGTGACACCAATAATGCATTTGTCACAGCAGAACATAATTTGGATAATAAATTCAGTGAATCAATGAAAATGGTGGGTGATCACTAAAATTTGTTAACGGTTTCATTTAGGATCACTTAAATGGTATTTGCTATTTTCGGTTACTTTTTTCAACATTTGAATGATAAACAAACACCTTGTTCAAGATTCCAATGGAATATGTTTTCCGATTTAGCGCTCTTTTTATTCCCTGCGGGCCGGAGCCCGCAGGGTATTGGTACGCGTTTAATTTTTGATGCATGGAGGAGCACGTGACCTGTTTTGGTATATGGAGGAGCATGTGATCTTTTAACCGTACATGATTGGTTAATTGACCATTTCGAAAACCTAGCTAAATACCGTTTGCCGGTACGTTACGGATTTACCTCGAATTACATCTGATTAAGAACATAAAACTATTACGTGATATTTCCAATTTTCTATAATTATTTTACCGTTCAAGGTAGAAAATATTATCAATGTTTCTTTAATATCTATCTCAAATTTTACAAAATATAAATAGTTTATAGTGAAAAACTACACAATTAAAACATTCGTAGTGGCATCTGCCATAATAAATAGAGATATTTTTTGTGTAAACTTGTGTGTTATCTATATTTTTGCACGGAATTATTCATACAATGGTATTTAATCATTTTCTTAAAAAGAAATATCGTAATTGTTTTATGTTCGACATTCTCTCCGGTCTCCGGTCTTCAACGGTCACCAGTCTCCATAGACCTTCTTCTATTGATCAATTATTTTCAACTATATTCTTGATACAAACGTTTATTTATTTTTCCCCAAACAATGTTGAAAATAGTTAAATGAAATATCTTTATATCATTAAAAATGTTTCCCGCAGGAAACTATTTTAACCCCATATTTTCATCAAAATAATGCCGCATAGAATAGTTTGTGCAGGCAAAGCGAGAAAAGTAAATGTTCCATTGGAAAGTTGTGTACCATTTGAGTTTGCAAGTATTAACTTGGAATCAGTTTATGGTTATTTTTCAAATATTAAAAGATATAATGAAAATAACTTAAAACATTTGAAGTAACGGGCACAGCTATAAGCGGTGACCCCATGTTGTCAAAAACATATGTCACGTGACCACCCATCCTGAATGAAGTAGAAAAGAACATTATTTATTTATTTATTTCGCATCTTGATTATATTATGCAGGAATTACGAAAATTGTCTTTTATATATAATTTTTGTATGGTCCTTTACAAATACAACTCAATGTTTTTTCCCAATTGTCAATTTAAAATACATATTGTGTCAAAGAATCTGAAACACTTGCTATATGAAGAAAGAAAAACAAACAAACAAACAAATTCGTAGATTCTGAAAAAATGTCTTTTAAAACATGTATAAAGTAATGAAAAGGGAATATTCCTATAGACTTGTAAATAGTGACCAATATGTCTGAGACTATATGAAAACTGTTAACTGATCACACTTACACAAGTATCGGCTTTCAGTAATGAAAATTTCATTAACAAAATATATTTCATTGGCATATTACATTATTTCTGATAAAAATAACTATGTTATTAGATATTATACAAGTTTTATAAATGTACATGTATGCTAATAGGTAATAAATTAATAAAAAGCCTCGCGGGTACATCGTTTTCAATTATAAGAAAAATGTAAAATGTTTTGTAAACAACTTTTTGACAATACACAATTATCAATATCCTAAGTAAGAAGTCAGTCAGAGCATTGATTCCAGCACTTTTAAGTGTTGAAAATTAAGAAGCGCTCAAGTCGGTGCTAGGGTGCGTGGTAATGTTGCACTTTAACATGTTTTCTCATGGACAGACTCAATCAAACCAAGTCTGCAATATTCATGTTATTTTGTGATTGATGCTTCTTATGGATCACTTTTTTCAAAATTTTAGAAGTGTGAGAGAGAACATGTGTCGAGAAATTCATATGATTGTTTTAAAGTACAGTAAACTTTATATGAAAATAAACAACTTTTTATTTTTAAATGAATACAATATACAATAACTATGAAGAAACAGGAATTTTTTCTCCTTAAGACAGGGCAAATATGTGTTTGTAATCATTTTTTCATAATGGATAAAGCGCATATGTGACGATTATCACACTAAAAAGAGCACTGTATGTTAAATAATTTGTCAAAAATGCGGCCGAATGTAATTTCCTTCATACGAATTCCAAAATGAAAAAGAAAGCAAAACATGATTCAGCTATATGGCCAATGATTAACCTTTTTGAAACTGTTATAGGACAAATAAAGTCTTTGAGAAAAAACGGGCTTAATGGGCCTTTAATCATTCTTGTGCTTTGTACAAACTTATGTGTTGTGATGTTACAATACTTGATTGAAATTAAGATTCAATGAAGAATGAAATATGACATGGACTTTACTTCATAAACTGCGAAACCTTCTGGGTAGATTTAAGCTTTCTTTTAAAATAAGTCTGTACGTGCCATCAAAACTGATAAATACTGTGTAAAAAAAGACATCTGTCATTTAAAGGCCGATTATGTCTCAGAAATGCTACTATTTTTATTCAACAAAAACTTTAATTTTTTATATCTTGTATCAGTCTCCAAAAATACTCATTTGCCATCTTTGCTCCTTTTGATTTGTTGACAATTGATACAATTTGATGAATAAGTATTTTCTTTGGAAGTCAAAATACTACTATGTTTACATTTTGTTACCTGAAGGAGACATTACTTCATATTCAGTGCTAATTTCTTCAGTCAATCATTTAAACATTATTACACACATGTTTGACAATTCTGAAGAATTTAATAAATCACGGATTTCTGAGGCATAATGTGCCTTTTTATGATCGTGGCTTTGTCAATTTCTCTTTTTTTTTTCAAACATTCATTATCATTACTACATATAAAGAAATACAAAATGTTTAAGCTGCTTATAATAATCAGATTGAACAGATTGCTTTTAAAAGATACACACTCCATCCGTTATTTGGTAAGTGAATTATTTTAAATGTAACAGATAGCAAGTACATATTGTGTTTTTATATATCATAGCACTGTCGTGAACCGATTTGTTAAGAATGAGTCTTTTAGTAGCATTGTTGCAAGCTTAATTTAAGTACAGTTTCGTCGTCGTTTTGTCGAACCTTAATCACGACGGACAATATTATTACTAACACAATAAAAACACCATATAAAAGATATATTTAACAGATTACTTTGACAAAGCTTTACCTCATTATTACTTTTTAAGAATCTTAATTCTTGACTTAGTGTGATAATATTTTATTGTATATTTTGTACCTGGTAATTTTACACAATTTAACATCATTATCTTTAGCATAAATATAATGTACATACAAAAGGGTTGGACCAAAAGTTAAACCAACTGTATCAAGGATACTCCCCTAAAGTTCTATCTTGTTGGATTAATTGTAACATAGGTAGAAAGTTTTGTTTTAAGAAATTCACAGATATTAATATTATATAAATAACATTGACTTCGAGGAAAAGATAAAAAGAAACTACCTCTTTAGCGTGACCAGCCAACCAATGAGCTTTTTTCTGCGGAACATTTCTCAGTTTCACGCAAAGTTTGATATAATTCAGCAGAAAACTACCAAGTTTCCAAAATATAAACACGAAAACGCCTAGGAATGCTGTTTTTATTAGTACATCCATACTTGTCGCGTTATTTTATCAACTGGCAAATTTTTATAAATATGCACTCTTTATATCTTTTTATCTTTATATTGATAGTAAATTATTAGTAACAAGGTCAGGTTATCTCATTAACATCGCTTATGTTAATAAGAAAAAAAAAATATTTAATTAAATAGAAATAAAGCATGGAAGAACTGGCCGGCTGTTGCGTCAAAGCGTTTAAATGACATTGACCTTTTATACGTCCTCAAGGCGGTTTATTCGGAAAGACGATATGTTTGAATGGAAACATTTTTTATTAAAGCAACACACCTCCAGATTCATATCATGCTTATTTTTTATGATTTTTTAAAAATGTTTTTAAAAGTAAAATTGTGTGAAATGAACACTGGTAATTTGTGTAAATTACCGAAAAGCGGTCATACACGCAAAAATAGCACTTAATGCGTTAGTAACGCAGTAGAAATATTGTGAAAATACTGCAAAATCGGTCCTTAATCGCAAATGACACGTAAATTATTACTTGAATCTTAAATCTTTTTACTTTTCTAAAACTCTAAAACTCTTTTCTAAAACATTTTTGTCAAGTTAAATATTCTTGAAATATTTTTGGTCATCTGGAAGCATGTTGCTTTAAACAAAAGTTGCTGAAGGAAATCGAGACCTTCACACTGGACCAAAATGTTGAGCAGAAAAATAAAACTGAAATGTAGGGCAGAAAAATAGCACTATATATTCACATCAAAAGTACCCTGTCACTTTTACTTTGTTTTATCTGTTTTTGCTATCACGTTGTCCTCAGGTGACCAACTGTTCTTTTTAATTTCGGTAGAGAAGGTATATTTAAGGTTAAAAACTGAGGCAGTTTATTGACATTTGCCTTATTTACAAATATGAATATTATTGTAATTATCGGCATTTAAGTTGGAAGTTCAGTCAAATTAGTCTTTTGTTATATTAGATTATTTGAAACATGTTTACTTTATTAAATAAATTTGCATTGCGTTAAATTGGGAAGAACCCATTCGAAGTTTAACGTTTACAAATCAAGCAATCTACAGTGCACCTATTTTCTTCAAAACATAGACTTTTTCATTATCATTTACATGCAAAAAATTCTTTTGCTGGTCCCATGCATTCCTATTTTGACACCATCAACAATAAGAAATGATGTTTAACTTTAATGGCCGTAATATCAATAGTACAATTTGCACAATTTCCTTTCAGATTGAACTCTTATTGTTTTAATCTGCATACCATGTTCTTTTTCCGTTTTACTTTTTCTTGATCCTTTTCGTTCCAGACTTCTATTCCATACGCAAAACGTAAATAGTATAAAGTACAAAAGATGTGACAGTAATGAGTCTGCATTTTAACCGTCAACCTTACCTGGCTGAATCAGTGGAATGGATTTACAATATTTTGATTTGGAACTGTCCATTGTGTAAAAGGGAAAGATAGCTGAATACCAAAATATAAAAATTGAGCAGACATGATCGTGTCTGTCATGTCATACATCGAGGAGGATGTATAGACTGACCATGCTCTAAATGATTTAATTAATTAACGGTAAGGACCGCGGTCATAATTGCTGGTGACTGCCTAAGGTTGGTGCATGCATTTAAATATCGAAAAATAAAAGCAGGCGATTACCAATTCAAATTATGTAAATTTCACTAAACTAAACAAATGAGTCCAAACTGAGCAAATTTTTACACAAATATTATCCAAATATTGATGGTCAAGCACTGCCAAACTTGCGTGCGAAATATGTTACTTACATGTACTCAAATAAATTTGAAATTGCCCCCTCTGTAACGAATACACTTGTTAGTATTTTGCCCGTGAATTAAATGTTCTCACTTTCTTAAATTTGTAAAATATTTAACTTTACTTTTGAAGATTTGTTCTGACGTAGCTGCACATATGATTTTATATCGGCTCTTGCTTAGCTCATGCTCATCGTTTGCTCGACTTACTCAGACCCAAATTCTTATCAAAATGTTATATATTCACATTTCTTGTACAGATATAGGGGATCGGTGGCCTAGTGGTTAAAGGGATATTCAGGCGAAATATTGACAAAATATTAAAATGATCTTTTGTACTCAACTCGCACTAAAATGACATCTCTAATAGTTTCAGCATGAATTTCTGTTTAGATTCTATATATTTTGCTATTGAAGCATAAATATATCTATATATGTTGAGCAAAATTTAGACGCCGATAGAATCACCGAATAGTTTTAAAACAAGTTAGGTGACTTTAACAAATCATTGAAGTTACATTAACGGATACTGTAGATATCGTATGATTGAAACAAGTCAAAATCATTCATTTGACATGTTCTTTAACGATTCCAGAGTTCACTGTGACAACTATTGTGAAATCCTAGCGCTCTAACCTGACCCACGCGGGTCAGGTTAGGAAACCACCATTTTATTCTTTATATGGAGAAAAGTTTTGTTCATTTGACTGTCTAATATATTCATTTTGAGGGCATTTACAGAATTAGGAATGAAAAATTCAAAACTAAGAAATGAAAATTTTGCCTGTGTCTTTCTTTAAGGTGTCTGCCTCTCTTAACCAAGGCATCGACCATGTTTCCTGGTGCGACGTCGACACCAGTAATGGCTGCGTCTATGAAGTAGACTGAAGTGTGGTTTGAAAATGCTTTCAAAATTCCATTTTATTTAGTTCCGCCCATTGTTTTCTCGTTTAGGGCACACGCTTTTTATTACTTGGGGACCATACGCCGCTTTTCATGGAATGGCACGGAAGTGTCACATTGAAGGTTCCATGATAACCGCCGTATGAACACATCTGCGGATGTTTCTAAATTCAAAATTTTACTATTTCACGTTTAAATGTTGAATTCTGCTTAAGCCGGTGCTAGGGGGCGTGGACGGTAATTTGCACTCTCCAGTACCGTCCATGAACAGGCTCAATTAAACCGAGCCTGCAACATTTTCAATTTTGCCGTGTTGGGCTTTCTTTAGGGATTCTGTATTTATCTATTTTATGATCACATCCGTTTTATTTGTGCCGTGTGGCGGCTGTAAAAAGTCTCCCCGTACATTTTATCAATGATGTTATATTTTCGATCCTTGAAGATCGTTCAGCACGACATTATTGTTGTGCTTGTGATATTTTTAGTTTCAACTTTTCGGCATTTTCTAGTTGGGTGGTTCCAATATTCCTACTTGAATAATGTTGAATCACCCTTAGGATATGTTGCCTGCTTTTTAAATTTGTCTTTTGACGTCTTATCTGTGATACGCAGGCTTCATAACCTCTGATCCCCTTTCAAAATTCCATTTTATTTAGTTCCGCCCATTGTTTTCTCGTTTAGGGCACACGCTTTTTATTACTTGGGGACCATACGCCGCTTTTCATGGAATGGCACGGAAGTGTCACATTGAAGGTTCCATGATAACCGCCGTATGAACACATCTGCGGATGTTTCTAAATTCAAAATTTTACTATTTCACGTTTAAATGTTGAATTCTGCTTAAGCCGGTGCTAGGGGGCGTGGACGGTAATTTGCACTCTCCAGTACCGTCCATGAATAGGCTCAATTAAACCGAGCCTGGAACATTTTCAATTTTGCCGTGTTGGGCTTTCTTTAGGGATTCTGTATTTATCTATTTTTTGAATAAGCTTAATTAATTTATTTCTATCGAGCTAAAAAGAAAAATATTCAAACACAATATTGTCAGTGAAGAATACCATCTATTTCAAATCAAATGTGATTGGTATGTCAACTCCTGTTTTGGACAATCACATTTGTAACACATTTTATCTGTTATTAATGCATGCAAACCCATTTGTAATAAAGGTGGAGCAAATGTTATCTGTTACAAATGTGGTCCAAACGCGCTTCATTCGTCAAAGCGAGACGTTACTTTTGAAATCGGTGCATGTATGTGGAAAGATAAAGCTCTGGGAGTTTATTCATTTGTTCGTTCCTAACGAATATAGGTCTCGGATAGAGTGTTGGATAAATAGAGAGTACAGTGCTTGTTTTGATATAAAATAAATCAAGCAAGGGTTGAAAAAAAGGGCGTGGCTCTGCCGTTTCGATTCGATTTCATTGTTTTACTTTTTTTTCGGAACAGTAGGAGATAAAACTTCTTGTTCAATTCAGTTCATTCAATGTGTATTAATTAGGTGTCTGATAAAGCTAGGGTGACTGATAAAGCTAAATTGGTTAGATATGCAGTTTATCAACAGAAATTGATGTAAATGACATGATCAAGCTCTCGGGACACCTATATTCGTGGAGAGCTTTATGCGGCATAACAGTGGTCCTTCTTTCTTTTACAGTTTAAATAATAAAAAAACAACAGGCTAAACAAGCAAACTATCTTTTATTATAGATTTATTTTATTTCATGCCAGTTCACAAAATAATGTTTTAAATGTATGAAAAATAAATTGTACAAACTAAATGTTGACATGTACTGCTTACTTTGAAATACATCTGTTTTGATATAGTGGGATACTTAGTCTTACTGTAAAAAAGAACATTTGAAGAGATACAAGTTAAACATAAGTAAATATAAATATATTTTTATTTATTGTCAGGCATTTATGTAACACACGCTTCAATTTTAGAAAATGAAGAAAACAATAACAAAGAAGAAAAGTTATATTTCGGTTTTGATATTGAAATTATTATCATTTTTTGTCAGTATGTTTATATTTGAATTCGTTTTCAATAAAATTATCAATGATATAAAACACATTTGTCTTTATAGCTATGATACATTTTCTCAATGTTTTTTTACGCTATTAACAATGCTAATTCTTCAATTCTGCAGAATAATAAAGAAAACATAAATTAAATTATTCATAGATACTTAAATTGGTGAATTTAGAATAACAGATAATATTTGTTTTAATTTTCAAAAACTGCCTCAGTCGTACCGGGGTGGGGGGCATTTATACTTTGAATGCAAGAGCTAATGAGAATAAGACTCGTTGAAACAGAGTCTGCACTATTGATAAATTTGTAAAACA